TTGTAGTTGGCCACCAGGTTTTCACACATCTCAGGAGGGATTTTGTTCCACTCCTCTTTGCAGATCTTCTCCAAGTCATTAAGGTTTCGAGGCTGACGTTTGGCAACTCAAACCTTCAGCTCCCTCCACAGATTTTCTATGGGATTAAGGGCTGGAGACTGGCTAGGCCACTCCAGGACCTTAATGTGCTTCTTCTTGAGCCACTCCTTTGTTGCCTTGGCCGTGTGTTTTGGGGCATTGTCATGCTGGAATACCCATCCACGACCCATTTTCAATGCCCTGGCTGAGGGAAGGAGGTTCTCACCCAAGATTTGATGGTACATGGCCCCGTCCATCGTCCCTTTGATGTGGTGAAGTTGTCCTGTCCCCTTAGCAGAAAAACACCCCCAAAGCATAATGTTTCCACCTCCATGTTTGACGGCGGGGATGGTGTTCTTGGGGTCATAGGCAGCATTCCTCCTCCTCCAAACACGACGAGTTGAGTTAATGCCAAAGAGCTCGATTCTGGTCTCATCTGACCACAACACTTTCACCCAGTTCTCCTCTGAATCATTCAGATGTTCATTGGCAAACTTCAGACGGCCCTGTATATGTGCTTTCTTGAGCAGGGGGACCTTGCGGGCGCTGCAGGATTTCAGTCCTTCACGGCGTAGTGTGTTACCAATTGTTTTCTTGGTGCTATGGTCCCAGCTGCCTTGAGATCATTGACAAGATCCTCCTGTGTAGTTCTGGGCTGATTCCTCACCGTTCTCATGATCATTGCAACTCCACGAGGTGAGATCTTGCATGGCGCCCCAGGCCGAGGGAGATTGACAGTTATTTTGTGTATCTTCCATTTGCAAATAATCGCACCAACTGTTGTCACCTTCTCACCAAACTGCTTGGCGATGGTCTTGTAGCCCATTCCAGCCTTGTGTAGGACTACAATCTTGTCCCTGACATCCTTGGAGAGCTCTTTGGTCTTGGCCATGGTGGAGAGTTTGGAATCTGATTGATTGATTGCTTCTGTGGACAGGTGTCCTTTATACAGGTAACAAACTGAGATTAGGAGCACTCCCTTTAAGAGTGTGCTCCTAATCTCAGCTCGTTACCTGTATAAAAGACACCTGGGAGCCAGAAATCTTTCTGATTGAGAGGGGGTCAAATGCTTATTTCCCTCATTAAAATGCAAATCAATTTATAACATTTTTGACATGCTTTTTTCTGGATTTTTGTTTTGTTATTCTGTCTCTCACTGTTCAAATAAACCTACCATTAAAATGATAGACTGATCATTTCTTTGTCAGTGGGCAAACGTACAAAATCAGCAAGGGATCAAATACTTTTTTCCCTCACTGTATATCTTGGGTACATAATAAAATGTCATAGTCTGCAACAATAACACAACATGGAGGGAAGATTAATATTTTTCTCTATGGGAAAATTGCAGGGATTCATTATACACTCTGAAAAAAAAAAGGTGCTATCTAGAACCTTAAAGGGTTCTTCAGCTGTCCCCATAGGATAACCCTTTGAAGAACCCATTTTGGTTGCAGGTTGAACCCTTTTGGTTGCAGCTACATGGCACCCAAAAGGGTTCTACCTGGAACCAAAAAGGGTTCTACCTGGAACCAAAAAGGGTTATCCTATGGGGACAGCCGAAGAACCCTTTTGGAACCTTTTTTCTAAGAGCGTAGACTAGGCATTAAGGTGCATTTACTAGGTGATAGTACTTGTGCATTGCTAAGTGTAATTTACACCAGCATGGCTGTGGTGGTGAGCTTATTTATCCCTGGGCCCTTGGTATGCACCATCAACCTGCTGATTTCTTCTTCCAGGAAACCACCAGCTTATCCTTTTCTCTGCAACAGATTAGACCCTGCCTGCAGGGCCCACTGGGTGCACTATGCTCTCTGTATCAAAGGCCCCCCGAGGTCCCTGTCGTCCGTGGAGCTATCCATCACATACAGTAGTCTGGGCCCCGCCCCGGGCATCTCTCCCCAATGTTGGGCAAAGGGGCCTCCTCTATAAAAAAACACAAGGTCATTCCTCTCTTTCTCCTTGTTATTTTTCTCCCTTCACTGCTGTGCTGGCTCTTGGCATCAACAAGGGGCAGTTATGTAAGCTCTATTTATATTGCAGGCTCCCGCGCTCCCTCCCTCCCTTCCTCCCTTCCTCAGTGAGCGACAGAGCCCTGGCTGTAATCATTGGAGGGCTCCTGCACCGTACCGTGCCCACCAGCCAGTAACCAACGAGACCCACTCTCTCACAAGGCCCGGTCACAAACAGTATAAGAGGATAGAAAAACAAACAAATCAACCAACCAGTATCCAATTACAACCCCTGCCAGCCACTGCCATCAGCATGGTGGAATTGTAGGGGGGAGTTCAGGAGAGTTTGGAACAGTGAGTACGTTTACATGCACACTAATAACACAATATTAAACTGATTACAGCAGTAGGCCGAGAATGGCATTAGTCATGTAAACACTTTACTCTTAATTGCCGTAAAGTCATAATCAGCATACACCGATTAAAACACCTGGATTTCTATGCAATCTTTTGAAGTATTAGGAACACCTTAATCGGAGTTCCAGCGGTGTATTTGATCTGCGCATGTGCCAGCACCGGCAGCGTGAGCTTCCTCTTTTTTTGTGTGGCGTGACCTGCTAGCTCTATGAAATGACAGGTCAGTCAGAAGGCAGAGTCGATCATTATCATCAAAATGAGATGTCAGTTTCCAGCCTCCCGTCCAACGCCCCCTCTCCCTCTGACATTTCTATTTATACCTTTCTCTAGAACCTACAGGCCTGAAGGGTTTTAAAAATAGAACATAAGCTGGTTAGGCCTTTGAGAACTGATAATAAGACAGTGTTTCATCGTGCAAAGGACAATCAATTCAGACTATTAAAACAAGTCAAATACTGAACAATTACCTAATTTCAGTTTCTACAGAGGAGGAATTAAGTTAGTTATCCCTTGAAACAGCATAATGACCTCACCATAGCCTGCAGGCTGTTCTGCACACTGCCAGTGCTGTAATAGCCAATAGTGTGGGCATCAACTTCCAGCGTGGGTCAGATAGCCTTCCAAACAGAGCAAGCAGCGTCACAATCCAATTGGCAGTAGTCACTACTGTCTGACCTATCTGGATGTCTACGCTGGAGCAGAGCCTTACATTGACTAGAAGGCTCTGGACTGGAGTAACCACAGGTGATTGATATCTCCATACAGGTGACCACCAGTAGCCAATGTACAGTCAAAGCCTCTGCTTCCTTGCTCCTGTGGGTTGGTTGGCTCAATGCTACAGCCTTAGCCTGCCTGGGTCGCAAAGTAAAAGTAGTGTCCTCTTATTTCTTAGTCTTAAAAATCAGGATACTTTTTTTGTTTGTTTTGATTCTATAACAATTTGAAAGGGGGAGGGGCCTGACACGCCTCTGGGTTTTCTACCTCTCCTGCACATGCTCTTTTCATTTGCCTTTTAAACTCGTATCATATTATTTTATATGTTCTTGTGTGCAAATTGAAATAAATACATAAAATAAATATAATAATGTTAACAAATTCTGGAGACCTGCAAAAAGGTGAATCTGACTTTCTTATGACGCTTCTTCTGTTCGATTTGTCCAATTCCTTCCCAGGAGAGAGAAAAGCCTGAAAAGGGCATTAAGGGGTTAAAACACTATCTCATAGAACATGTTTCATGTTCACAAAATGGTGTGACTGACTGCCCATAACATTTCTAAAAGGGGAGTCAAATGGATTACAAACAATGAAAGCCATAATTACAGCTGGGCTTAAAGCCCAACTACAAAAGCCATGTAAGTGTCAGCCATCTTGTAAGAACTCTGAGTAATGTTTCAGCAGGAGCCTCCATTGCCAGTTCTCATTAGTATGGTGAGCAGATAATCAGTGGGCATGTTAATTAAGAAAGTGAATCTCCCCAGTGTTGGGAGCATGCAGAGGAGAGGGCTGCAGAGGGCCTGGCCCATTTCTCTTTGTTTTCACTAACACACTTCCTCTTTCCCCCTGCAGGGCTGGCACATACAGCTCAGGGCTGCAGCTCACCTCAACTCCTTCACTTTCGTCCTTCATACTACTGGCCCTTACTACTCCTTCCCTACCTCTTTCCCGTTGGCCCGGCGACTGCCCAAGATTACCACAAAAAATTGGACAACAAGAGCCTTTTTTGTCGTTGAAGACGGGTCTAGCATTATCTAAGAGACAGAAATGTGATGCGACTGCTGACATGATTCACTCAGAACCATACGTGATCCTGCAACAAAGCTCACTTGTCCCCTGCAAATTGAGAGCGAAAAAACTAACTGGGATTATGAAAACGAGAAGCCCTGTGTGAAGTTGTGCAGGCTCCTTGGCTACAATGAGAGAACCCCACCCCCTCCAAATAATACATTATCCTGCCAATCTCTTTCCCTGACTACTACCTGTAATACTTTCCTGCAGGGAGGTCCTTTCCAAGGCCCCAGAGGGGGTGAAGGATAGCATAATGGTGCTTAAGAGTGGGAGTAAATTAGATTTTAAAACATTATAACCGAATACGCTTTAACTAAAAAAGGCAGGCATGAGGACCAGCAATCCCCTTACAATAGAAGTCTCAATGAGTAATGGCAGTAATTCCCTTGCTCAACTCTCACACACACCCACACTGCAGTGAGAAACTCTTCTCAATGAACACTCTTGCATGAGGTTGGCAACCACCAACCAAACACACACACACACAACAAAGATTACTTTGCAAATATTAACCCAAACTTCACAGGGAACATCGCCACGATGCCAAAAGAAAGACACACTCATGGCACTGTTGTCAACTATCAGCAAAAGAGGAAGACATGTAGCCTACCTCACAGGCCTGACGAGGCCTTTGAACCCTAACCTGACCACAACACTCCATAGATCTACATACAAACAGCTGCCCTGGGTGTGTATGTGTGTGTGATATGTGGATCTGTGTGAGGTGAGACAGTGGGATGGAGGACTACAAACTAGGGTGTGGCTTTTCTACAGGTGTCTGGTCTGTCTGGAACATTGGGGCTCCCAGGGCTGCTCCTCCTCTATACACCTTCCCTTGTTCTGACAGCACAGTGAGACCCAGTTAATAAGGCACTGTGGTCTCTGCATTATTCATCCAGTGACATGCTGTGGTTATGTAACAGGAGTCATGTGTGAGGGCCTTTGAGTAAACTGCCTGTGCTGTGGGAAGCCAAGCCAAGGTTCATCAGGTAAACCACTATACAAATACAAGCCCTATTATGCAACAGGCCTGTTTATGCATTAGCTCACACAGAGATAAACATACACACACACACACACACAAAACGCAGGCGCAAAGTAAGAAAATGTAACTGCCCAACAATCAGCCACCCCGCTCCCCCCCACTTTCCCCATGTCCCTCTCTTAACCTTGCTGTGCAGTCAGAGAAGTAATTAGGTTTGTTGCCATAGCAACCCCTTCTGGCTGGCTGAGAGGAGGGGAGGTAGTGACGCATTGGGGAGCTACTCAGAGCTCAGAGCTTGGACCTCTCCCAGCAGACAGACCATTAGTTCCTGCTCTGCCTCCACTTCCTGCTCTCCTCCTCTGGGCCCAGTCTCTCCCACTCTACCTCTTCTCTAACATGTTCTACTCATATCACATTGTGCCCCTGGCACGGGTTAACTCTCACCTGGATGACCGTGTTCCCGCCCTCCAGCAGGGCGATGGCCAATAGGATGCTCTCCTGGAAGATACGGTCGCTCGTGGCATTCATGATGAGGTCGATTACCAGGTCGGATGCACCCTCTTTATCCAGACGGCACTGGACCTCATGCAGGGTCAGCTCCCCTCGGGCCGCGGCCGCCCCTGAACTCACCACTGGGGAAGGACAGGGAGAGAGAGACGGGAGAGAGAGCGAGACGGGGAGAGAGAGCGAGAGAGAGACGGGGAGAGAGAGACGGGGAGAGAGAGACGGGGAGAGAGAGACGGGGAGAGAGGGACGGGGAGAGAGGGACGGGGAGAGAGGGACGGGGAGAGAGAGACGGGGAGAGAGAGACGGGGAGAGAGAGACAGGGAGAGCGCCATCAAGAGCCAGAACAAGGAGGAAAGACATACATACAGGAGAACCTGTCACTGTAAATGAGAGTAAAAGTACAATTCCATCATCTCACAGGGATTTCCTCACTCAAGAGGATTGCCAGATGGGCAGATTAAAGAGATCCGTCTGTCTCTTTCCTGTTCATTGATTCACTGCATCATTTGCTTATTATATCATTTAATGAGATGAATCTTGATGGATATGATCTCTAAACTAAACCAAAAACAGGATGCCAAAAGTATAGTGAAGATCATTCCATGTCTTGAAAATAGCTGTATTTCCTAGCTAAGACTAGCTAGCCTTGTCCAGTGAGGACACCTGCTCCAGCCACACAAGGAAGCAGATGTGTGATAATGTTACCCAGAGGGCCACTCTCTGGCTGTGGGAGCAGGTGTCCACACTCCACAAAACATTATAATCTAGAGCCCGTCTCTCTGGTCGCCTGGCAACAGCACGGCTTGGCTCAGTCAGAGGAGATTGCTCAAATGCTGAGGGACAGAGCCTGGGTCCAAAGTCTTAATGGAGGACATGGGTGGGCAGGCAGGCAGACAGGAGCGTGAACAGGAAGGAACTCATTCCTATTCTCCAGGCATGGAGAAGAGACCAACCATGACTCATCACCCTGATTAGAGTCTGGACCACTTCAACATGCTTTAATACTCTGAGGTATTGAGATGTACAGTGGGGTCCCTTGATAAAGATGAGCTATATTGTATACAATATATATATATATATATATATATATATATATATATATATATATATATATATATATATATATATATATATACACAATTGCACAGAGAAAAATATTTTGTTTAACAAGTAAAAAATACAATCTCAAAAAGATAGTGGTCAAAATGATTGGATCCCCCTGTTTTCAATACTCCAGCACCCTCCCCTTGCGAGGGTAACAACACAGCCTTTTTCTAAAATGTTTTATGAGATTAGAGAACACATTGGGAGGGGTCTTAGACCATTCCTCCATACAGATACTTTCCAGATCCTTGACATCCTTCGACTGTGCTTATGGACTGCCCTCTTCAAGTCAAACCACAGGTTTTCAATTTAGTTCAAGTCCAGAGACTAAGAAGGCCATTGCAAAATATATACTTTTTGTCAATTAACCATTTCTTTATGGTTTTTGATGTGTGCATGGGGTTATTGTCTATCTGGAAGATCCACTTCCGGCCAAGTTTCAGCCTCCTGGCAGAGGCAACCAGATACTTGGTAAAGTTCATGATGCCGTTGACCTTAATAAAGCCCCCAGTACCAGCAGAAGAAAAATAGCCCCATAACATCAAAGATCCACCACCATATTTTACAGTAGGGATTAAATATTTTTTGCACATGCATTGTTCTTTCGAAGGCCAAACCAACTGCTGGTGTGGGAAAGACCTCTATTTTCGTTTCACATGCCAAAGCAGTTGTAAACTCCAGGCGGAGCTATGGTCAGATGACATGAAAATAGATATCTTTGGCCACGGACACCAATGGTGGGTTTGGCCTTCGAAAGAACAATGTGTTCTCCCTCCCAATGAGTTCTTCAATCTCATAAAACATTTTAGAAAATGGCTCAGTGTCGTTATCCTTGCAAGGGGAGGCTGCTGGAGTATTAATTTTGACCCTGATCTTTTTCAGATTTTGTTTTATTACTTGTTAAACAAAATATATTTCTCTGATCAATTGTATTAGTATAAAATAATAATTGATTTTTTACCCCCAATTTCGTGATATCCAATTGCGATATTGTCTAATCGCTGCAACTCCCCAACGGGATCGGGAAAGGTGAAGGTCGAGTCATGCGTCCTCCGAAACATGAACTGCCTAACCGCGCTTCTTAACACCCGCCTGCTTAACCCGGAAGCCAGCCGCACCAATGTGTCAGAGGAAACAGCCTGCAGGCACCCTGCCCGGCACAAGGAGTTGCTAGAGCACGATAAGCCAAGTAAAGCCTCCCCTAACCCGGATGACGCTGGGTCGAACCCGGGTCTGTGGTGACGCCTCAAGCAATGCGACGCAGTGGCATAGACCGCTGCGCCACTCGGGAGGCCCCAAAATAATTGCATTTTTAACTGCCAAAATATAGGAAACACCAACATAAAGTGTCTTAATAGGGCGTTGGGCCACCACGAGCCAGAACAGCTTTAATGCAATTTGGCATTGATTCTACAAGTGTCTGGAAATCTATTAGAGGGATGCAACACCATTCTTCTACAAGAAATTCCATAATTGTTGATGGTGGTGGAAAACGCTCTCAGCGGCGCTCCAGAATCTCCCACAAGTGTTCAATTGGGTTTAGATCTGGTGACCGAGGCTGCCATGGAATATAGTTTACATCGTTTTCATGCTCATCAAACCATTCAGTGACCACTCGTGCCCTGTGGATGGGGGCATTTTCATCCTGTGGGGGCATAGACATGGTAGCCAAAATAATGGCCTGCCCAGCATGATGGGATGTTAATTGTTTAATTAACTCAAGAATCTCACCTGTGTGGAAGCACCTGCTTTCAATATCCTTTGTATCCCTCATTTACTCAAGTGTTTCCTTTATATTGTCAGTTACCTGTAGTTCAGTATTTGTGTTATTTATTTTATAATATTTTTTTTCTCATCTTTATCAAGGGATCCAATAATTCCGGACCCCACTGTATATGTCAGCCAGTTCAGACAAACAGATACAGAGTGACACAGAGATACAGAGACAGACAGGTACCTGCTCGAGGTTTCCCTTCTGTTCCAGGGGGGACAGGACCATTGATGAACGTCGTCACACTGTCTCTTCTGGCCGCAGGCTTGATGTTCCCATAGTAACGATTCACCAGAATCTGCCTCAGGGCTTCACCCTGGTGGAAAGAGGTGATGTCAGAGGATGGAGCCTACATCATCATCATGAGATAAACCCTAGAGTCGATTTCTGCGCCCCCGTGGAAATCAAATTAGCATAAAAAAAAAATCCCCATTAAAATCTGTCAGTTTAAACTAGAGATATCTTTTTGTTTTTGCATTGGATGCGTCTCAATCCACCGCACCACTTCCGCATCTGTGGTGAAAGGTGAAAGAGCTAGAGCGTCTGAACGATTTGGCCTACAAACTATTATGACCCCTCTATGGAAAGATGAGACGGTCACGAACACGATGGTGTTCTCTGTTTTGCTCCACAAGTTCTTGGGACTCATCTCAAGTCGGTACAGCCGATCTGCCAACTTCTGACAGTAGTGGCCGAACAGTTGGGCTACATACTAATATGACCCCTCTGTGGAAAGGTGAGACTCTCACGAACACGTACAATTGAAGTCAGAAGTTTACATACACTCAGGTTGGAGTCATTAAAACTTGTTTTTCAACCACTCCAAACATTTCTTGTTAACAAACTATAATTTTGGCAAGTCGGTTGGGACATCTACTTTGTGCATGACACAAGTAATTTTTCCAACAATTGTTTATTTCACTTATAATTCACTGTATCACAATTCCAGTGGGTCAGAAGTTTACATACAATAAGTTGACTGTGCCTTTAAACAGCTTGGAAAATTCCAGAAAATGATGTCATGGCTTTAGAAGCTTCTGATAGGCATTTGAGTCAATTGGAGGTGTACCTGTGGATGTATTTCAAGGCCTACCTTCAAACTCAGTGCATTTTTGCTTGACATCATGGGAAGATCTAAAGAAATCAGCCAAGACCTCAGAAAAAAAATTGTAGACCACCACAAGTCTGGTTCATCCTTGGGAGCAATTTCCAAACGCCTGAAGGTACCACGTTCATCAGTACAAACAATAGTACGCAAGTGTAAACACCAAGGGACCACGCAGCCTTCATACCGCTCAGGAAGGAGACGCGTTCTGTCTCCTAGAGATTAACATACTTTGGTGCGAAAAGTGCAACTCAATCCCAGAACAACAGCAAAGGACCTTGTGATGATGCTGGAGGAAAAAGGTACAAAAGTATCTATATCCAGAGTAAAACGAGTCCTATATCGACATAACCTGAAAGGCCGCTCAGCAAGGAAGAAGCCACTGCTCCAAAACCGCCATAAAAAAGCCAGACTACGGTTCGCAACTGCACATGGGGACAAAGATCGTACTTTTCGGAGAAATGTCCTCTGGTCTGATGAAACAAAAATAGAACTGTTTGGCCATAATGACCATCGTTATGTTTGGAGGAAAAAGGGGGAACTTGCAAGCTGAAGAACACCATTCCAACCGTGAAGCACGGGGGTGGCAGCATCATGCTGTGGGGATGCCTTGCTGCAGTTCACAAAATAGATGGCATCATGAGGAAGGAAAATGATGTGGATATATTGAAGCAACATCTCAAGATATCAGTCAGGAAGTTAAAGCTTGGTCGCAAATGGCTCTTCCAAATGGACAATGAACTCAAGCATACTTCCAAAGTTGTGGCAAAATGGCTTAAGGACAACAATGTCAAGGTATTGGAGTGGCCATCACAAAGCCCTGGCCTCAATCCTATAGAACATTTGTGGGCAGAACTGAAAAAGCGTGTGCGAGCAAGGAAGCCTTACAAACCTGACTCAGTTACACCAGCTCTGTCAGGAGGAATGGGCCAAAATTCACCCAACTTATTGTGGGAAGCTTGTGGAAGGCTACCCGAAAAGTTTGACCCAAGTTAAACAATTTAAAGGCAATGCTACCAAATACTAATTGAGTGTATGTAAACTTCTGACCCACTGGGAATGTGATGAAAGAAATAAAAGCTTAAATAAATCACTCTCTGCTATTATTCTGACATTTCACATTCTTAAAATAAAGTGGTGATCCTAACTGACCTAAGACAGGGAATTTTTACTAGAATTAAATGTCAGTAATTGTGAAAAACTGAGTTTAAATGTATTTGGCTATGGTGTATGTAAACTTCCGACTTCAACTGTACATGTCGGTTGTTTTGCTCTAGGATACCTCACAAGACTTGTCTGAAGTCCCCCGGTACCAGTTGAAAAAATTTATGGAAGTATATACAGTATGGAGACTGATTAGTGCCAAAAATAAGGGGTTAAATACATGTAAAAAAAAATATATATATATATATATTATTGATCTACCTTATACTGTGGCTTGCGAAAGTATTCTCCCCCTTGGCATCTTTCCTATTTTGTTGCCTTACAACCTGGATTTAAATTGATTTTGGGGGGTTGTATCATTTGATTTACACAACATGCCTACCACTTTGAAGATGCAACATATTTTTTACTGTGAAACAAGCAAAAAATAAGACAAAAAAACAGAAAACTGGAGCGTACATACAGTGGGGAAAAAAAGTATTTAGTCAGCCACCAATTGTGCAAGTTCTCCCACTTAAAAAGATGAGAGAGGCCTGTAATTTTCATCATAGGTACACGTCAACTATGACAGACCAAATGAGGATTTTTTTCTCCAGGAAATCACATTGTAGGATTTTTTATGAATTTATTTGCAAATTATGGTGGAAAAGAAGTATTTGGTCAATAACAAAAGTTTCTCAATACTTTGTTATATACCCTTTGTTGGCAATGACACAGGTCAAACGTTTTCTGTAAGTCTTCACAAGGTTTTCACACACTGTTGCTGGTATTTTGGCCCATTCCTCCATGCAGATCTCCTCTAGAGCAGTGATGTTTTGGGGCTGTCGCTGGGCAACACGGACTTTCAACTCCCTCCAAAGATTTTCTATGGGGTTGAGATCTGGAGACTGGCTAGGCCACTCCAGGAACTTGAAATGCTTCTTACGAAGCCACTCCTTCGTTGCCCGGGCGGTGTGTTTGGGATCATTGTCATGCTGAAAGATCCAGCCACGTTTCATCTTCAATGCCCTTGCTGATGGAAGGAGGTTCACTCAAAATCTCACGATACATGGCCCCATTCATTCTTTCCTTTACACGGATCAGTCGTCCTGGTCCCTTTGCAGAAAAACAGCCAAAGCATGATGTTTCCACCCCCATGCTTCACAGTAGGTATGGTGTTCTTTGGATGCAACTCAGCATTCTTTGTCCTCCAAACACGACGAGTTGAGTTTTTACCAAAAAGTTATATTTTGGTTTCATCTGACCATATGACATTCTCCCAATCCTCTTCTGGATCATCCAAATGCACTCTAGCAAACTTCAGACGGGCCTGGACATGTACTGGCTTAAGCAGGGGGACACGTCTGGCACTGCAGGATTTGAGTCCCTGGCGGCGTAGTGTGTTACTGATGGTAGGCTTTGTTACTTTGGTCCCAGCTCTCTGCAGGTCATTCACTAGGTCCCCCCGTGTGGTTCTGGGATTTTTGCTCACCGCTCTTGTGATCATTTTGACCCCACGGGGTGAGATCTTGCGTGGAGCCCCAGATCGAGGGAGATTATCAGTGGTCTTTTATGTCTTCCATTTCCTAATAATTGCTCCCACAGTTGATTTCTTCAAACCAAGCTGCTTACCTATTGCAGATTCAGTCTTCCCAGCCTGGTGCAGGTCTACAATTTTGTTTCTGGTGTCCTTTGACAGCTCTTTGGTCTTGGCCATAGTGGTGTTTGGAGTGTGACTGTTTGAGGTTGTGGACAGGTGTCTTTTATACTGATAACAAGTTCAAACAGGTGCCATTAATACAGGTAACGAGTGGAGGACAGAGGAGCCTCTTAAAGAAGAAGTTACAGGTCTGTGAGAGTTTGTAGGTGACCAAATACTTATTTTCCACCATAATTCGCAAATAAATTCATTAAAAATCCTACAATGTGATTTTCTGGAGAAAAAAATGCTCAATTTGTCTGTCATAGTTGACGTGTAACTATGATGAAAATTACAGGCCTCTCTCATCTTTTTAAGTGGGAGAACTTGCACAATTGGTGGCTGACTAAATACTTTTTTCCCCACTGTAACTATTCACCCCCCTAAAGTCAATACTTTGTAGAGCCACCTTTTTCAGCAATTACAGCGGCAAGTCTCTTGGGCCCCGTGTAGCTCAGTTGGTAGAGCATGGCGCTTGCAACGCCAGGGATGTGGGTTCGTTTCCCACGGGGGGGGGCAGTATGAAAATGTATGCACTCATTAACTGTAAGTCACTCTGGATAAGAGCGTCTGCTAAATGACTAAAATGTAAAATGTATGTCTCTATAAGCTACTGGGATTTTTGCCCATTCTTCAAGGCAAAACTGCTCCAGCTCCTTCAAGTTGGATGGGTTCCGCTGGTGTACAGCAAACTTTAAGTCATACCACAGATTCTCAATTGGATTGAGGGCTTTGACTAGGCTATTCAAAGACATTTAAATGTTTCCCCTTAAAACACTCGAATGTTGCTTTAGCAGTATGCTTAGTGTCATTGTCCTGCTGGATGGTGAACCTCCGTCCCAGTCTCAAATCTCTGGAAGACTGAAAAAGGTTTCCCTCAAGAATTTCCCTGTATTTAGCGCCATCCATCATTCCTTCAATTCTGACCAGTTTCCCAGTCCCTGCAGATGAAAAACATCCCCACAGCATGATGCTGCCACCACCATGCTTCACTGTTGGTTTTCTCATGGTGATGAGAGGTGTTGGGTTTGCGGCAGACATAGCGTTTTTCTTGATGGCCAAAAAGCTCAATTTTTGTCTCATCTGACCAGAGTACCTTCTTCCATATGTTTGGGCAGTCTCCCACATGGCTTTTGGCGAGCACCAAACGTGTTTGTTTAAAGAAAAAAATAAGCAATGGCTTTTTTCTGGCCACTCTTCTGTAAAGCCCAGCTCTGTGGAGTGTACGGCTTAAAGTGGTCCTATGGAGAGATACTCCAATCTCCGCTGTGGAGCTTTGCAGCTCCTTCAGGGTTATCTTTGGTCTCTTTGTTGCCTCTCTGATTAATGCCCTCCTTGCCTGGTCCGTGAGTTTTGGTGGGCGACCATCTCTTTGCAGTTTTGTTGTAGTGCCATTTCTTTCAATTTTTTAATAATGGATTTAAATGGTGCTCTGTGGGATGTTCAAAGTTTCTGATATTTTTTTATAACCCAACCTTGATCTGTACTTCTCCACAACTTTGTCCCTGATCTGTTTGGAGAGCTCCTTGGTCTTCATGGTGCCACTTGCTTGGTGGTGCCTCTTGCTTAGTTGTGTTGCAGACTCTGGGGCTTTTCAGAACAGGTGTATATATACTGAGTTCATGTGACAGATCATGTTACACTTACAGTGAGGGAAAAAAGTATTTGATCCCCTGCTGATTTTGTATGTTTGCCCACTGACAAAGAAATGATCAGTCTATAATTTTAATGGTAGGTTTATTTGAACAGTGAGAGACAGAAAAATAACAAAAAAATCCAGAAAAACGCATGTCAAAAATGTTATAAATTGATTTGCATTTTAATGAGGGAAATAAGTATTGACCCCCTCTCAATCAGAAATATTTCTGGCTCCCAGGTGTCTTTTATACAGGTAACGAGCTGAGATTAGGAGCACACTCTTAAAGGGAGTGCTCCTAATCTCAGTGTGTTACCTGTATAAAAGACACCTGTCCACAGAAGCAATCAATCAGATTCCAAATTCTCCACCATGGCCAAGACCAAAGAGCTCTCCAAGGATGTCAGGGACAAGATTGTAGACCTACACAAGCCTGGAATGGGACCATCGCCAAGCAGCTTGGTGAGAAGGTGACAACAGTTGGTGCGATTATTCGCAAATGGAAGAAACACAAAATAACTGTCAATCTCCCTCAGCCTGGGGCTCCATACAAGATCTCACCTCGTGGAGTTGCAATGATCATGAGCACGGTGAGGAATCAGCCCAGAACTACACGGGAGGATCTTGTCAATGATCTCAAGGCAGCTGGGACCATAGTCACCAAGAAAACAATTGGTAACACACTACGCCGTGAAGGACTGAAATCCTGTCAAATCTTGGGTGAGAACCTCCTTCCCTCAGCCAGGGCATTGAAAATGGGTCGTGGATGGGTATTCCAGCATGACAATGACCCAAAACACACAGCCAAGGCAACAAAGGAGTGGCTCAAGAAGAAGCACATTAAGGTCCTGGAGTGGCCTTAATGGGATTTCTTAATCCCATAGAAAATCTGTGGAGGGAGCTGAAGGTTCGAGTTGGCAAACATCAGCCTCGAAACCTTAATGACTTGGAGAAGATCTGCAAAGAGGAGTGGGACAAAATCCCTCCTGAGATGTGTGCAAACCTGGTGGCCAACTACAAGAAACGTCTGACCTCTGTGATTGCCAACAAGGGTTTTGCCACCAAGTACTAAGACATGTTTTGCAGAGGGGTCAAATACTTATTTCCCTCATTAAAATGCAAATCAATTTATAACATTTTTGACATGCATTTTTCTGGATTTTTTTGTTGTTATTCTGTCTCTCACTGTTCAAATAAACCTACCATTAAAATTATAGACTGATCATTTCTTTGTCAGTTGGCAAACGTACAAAATCAGCAGGGGATCAAATAGTTTTTTTTTCCACACAGGTGGACTTTATTTAACTAATTGTGACTTTTGAAGTTAATTGGTTGCACCAGATCTTATTTAGGGGCTTCATAGCAAAGGGGGTGAATACATATGCACACACCACTTTTCCGTTATTTATATTTTAGAATTCTTTGAAATAAGTAGTTTTTTTCATTTCACTTCACCAATTTGGACTATTTTGTGTATGTCCATTACATGTATAAAAATACATTTAAATTACAGGTTGTAATGCACCAAAATAGGAAAAATGCCAAGGGGGATGAATACTTTTGCAAGGCACTGTATCTCTCAGATATAGGACAGACACTTCAGAACTATCTTCCTTTTGATTTTCTTTTGGGACTATCTGTTGTTCCATGTAGTGAATCTGGTATTCAATGCATTTGCATGGGCAAATAGCAGTAAGGCCAACTTAACATTCTCATCAAATATTTTTTAAATATATTTTTTTGATACTTCAAATGGGTCTTAAAATTCTAAATCAAATAGTTAAATGATCCTTGGTATGACCTTCTTAAAACAATTCCATATAGCTTAGCCTGGCAGTGACTCTCAAAAGAACACATACCTTCTCTCTCCTTCACCTCTGACTTCCTGCCCTGCTGAGTCAGCCTGTTTAAAGACTTGACCCCACTCATAACGCACATCTCACGGCATCTGGATGCCTAGAGGCCTCATAACTTGACCCCGCTGGGGTTTACTGCAGCCCAACCTCCTGTTATTTAGATATCTTACATCCAAACTGCAGTTCCATCGATACCTGGTATTGCATGAGCCTCGGAATGTTCCAATTCATATTTATACATATCAGTTTTGTATATTCCTCCTGAAACCCATTGACACCCACACCCAGTGGCCAGTTAGTTAGTAGTGGGGTAACCCTGTGAGTAGGTGGGCATGCTATGGAAGCAGTGTGGCTGCAGGCTAGGGCAGAGTGGTGCATCAGGACAACCAGCCCAGCCAGGGTGGGCCAGAGAGGGGGGGGGGGGTTGGGGGGGACACTGGACCGGACAGGATCAGACCGGACTGTACCTACCCTCCTCTGGTCCTCCAGTTGCTTCAGGGGCTGGTTGGGGTCAAGCTCCTGAGGGTGAGGTGAGTTAGCAGAAAGCAAATCAAGTCCAAAAAGGAAATTAGGGAAAACAAAAACAAAACAAAAGAGGGGTGTTAATACTGTGCACATTAGTCACTTTCCTGACATGCAGGGAACTGTGCCAAATGATATCATGCAGTTAACAGAGAAAAGGTGGGAGGTGTGTTGGGGTGGATGTGGGGTAGGAACGTAACCATGCAGGCTTAGAGTCTAAAAAAATACTAATAACATAAGGTGGCTTGCTGCCGGAACAAAAGGCCATTAATTTAAAACCCTTATCTCAGGATCGCTTTTCATTTGAAACACTTAAGTCGACAATGTTAAACAAGGCTTAAACGTTGCTGCTCACTTCTTTGATGTTGGGTAATTTCAACCAATAAACTGTACAACTCAGAGTGACTACCTTGTTACTTTGCAGTCGTCGCACAAATGAAACCATGTTAATTACGTATGGTAGCGAGAAGCTGCCAGGGGCAGAAACACAACTCAAGCCATGAGGAAAAAACCCAGCCCTATCCACGTTACATAATGGAGCCAGTGTAGTGTGCTATTAGCACTACGAACACAGTGTAAACCCATGTTCCCATCTGCCATTGAAAAACACCCAGCGCGCAGTTCCAAAACCCTGCAGAAAGAAAGTCAGGAAACTGGACTTCACTCAAAAACCTATGGCGGGATGGAGGGATGAACAGAGGGAGGGAGAGAGGGACAAACGTGTCAGTTCACAGTATTATAAAAAATCCACAGGCTGGAAACATTGGAGTGTGTTAAGTGTGTTTTTGTGAGTCGGCCCTGAAAAAGGAAAGACGCGGGGAGGTGTGATGACTACTGTAATGGAATGTGGCCACCACAACGTAGAGGATAGACAATCTACCATCTACAGTATATTCAACAACAACCCATATGCTGAGGCCCAGGGCCAATATGGGCGTTGAACTCACATCTGCAGCAGGAACTTCAGGCTCAGCCGGCGGAGGGGCCAGCTAATTGGATAGATAGATAAAAGGTCTGGGTTAGTCAAGATGTGGGTTAGACCACAGTTAGTCATGTTGTTGCTCCAAAGAGCAGAACTCTCCCTGAGCAAATTAACCTCAGGCTCTCAGGTCACCTGCCTCACAATGCAAACAGACCGATGCAAGGCCATGCCCGCTTTGCAAAGAAGCTCCCTGCCCGTCTGGCAGGTTACAGTTCATCGGTTGTCCTGTAATGTGCCCGACAGTAATAAAACCGCATGACTCATAGCCAGCCGCGGAGAAGCAAGGGGACAACAAACATGCCCTTATCTAACGTATCTATGCTAAGTTTCTGCTGTTATTGGAGCACTTGTCTGTGTCATCACTATTCTACGCTCCCTGTGTTCACATGCCAATGCTTTCACACAGTTGCTTGCATGGCAAAATTAACACCTTGACATAGGAGAACAAATGTACTGTTTAGTTGTTTATGTGAAAGGATTCGAAATGTCATGTTCTAACATGAAGGACATGAAGGACTAAGGACAAATCAGACTTGAAGGACAAAGGACAAATCAGACTTGCAGATATGGCTTTTAGTGATATGACGGAAGTACACCACATTAACAAAAGTATGTGGACACCTGCTAGTCGAACATCTCATTCCAAAATCATGGGCATTAATATGTAATAGGTCCCCCCTTTGCTACTATAACAGCCTCCACTCTTCTGGGAAGGCTTTCCACTAGATGTTGGAACATTGCTACAGGTACTTTCTTCCATTTAGCCAGAAGAGCATTAGTGAGGTCGGGCACTGATGTTGGGCGACTAGGCCTGGCTCGCAGTTGGCGTTCCAATTCATCCCAAATGTGTTCGATGGGCTTGAGGTCAGGGCTCTGTGCAGGCCAGTAAAGTTCTTCCACACCGATCCAGAATGTAATTGTATGCTGTAGCGTTAAGATTTCCCTTCACTGGAACTAAGGGGCCTAGCCCGAACCATGAAAAACAGCCCCATACTATTATTCCTCGTCCACCAAACTTTACAGTTGGCACTATGCATTCGGGCAGGTAGCGTTCTCCTGGCATCCACCAAACCTAGATTAGTCCGTCGGACTGCCAGATGGTGAAGCATGATTCATCACTCCAGAGAACGCATTTCCACTGCTCCAGAGTCCAATGGCGTCGAGCTTTACGCCACTCCAGCCGACACTTGGCATTACGCATGGTGATCTTAGGCTTGTGTTTGGCTGCTCGGCCATGGAAACCCATTTCATGAAGCTCCTGAAGAACAGTTCTTGTGCTGACGTTGCTTCCAGAGGCAGTTTGGAACTCGGTAGTGAGTGTTGCAACCGAGGACAGACTATTTTTACGTGCTACGCGCTTCAGCACTCGGCAGTCCCGTTCTGTGAGCTTGTGTGGCCTACCATTTCGCGGCTGAGCCGTTGTTGCTCCTAGACGTTTCCGCTTCACAATAACAGCACTTACAGTTGACCAGGGCAGAAATATGACAAACTGACTTGTTGGAAAGGTGGCATCCTATGACGGTGCCACGATGAAAGTCACTGAGCTCTTCAGTAAGGCCCTTCTACTGCCAATGTTTCTCTATGGAGATTGCATGGCTGTGTGCGAGATTTTATACACCTGTCAACAACGGGTGTGGCTGAAATAGCCGAATCCACTAATTTGAACGGGTGTCCACATACTTTTTATATATATAGTGTATTAGTGATACAGTGCATAATAATACATGCAAATTAAAACAACATGATGCATGATTACAAACATCACAAATAATAAAAACTAACACCTCAGCTGAGACTCATAGTCAATGTTTGGCAAAGCGATCAAGAAGAAAATATACATTTTATTTTCCGTGGCTGACTGCTAATATGAAATGCTTGCTTGAACACCTTGTTAAAAAGAACCTTTAGAAGGAGAGAGACTGAGTAGACGCATGTGGTACATTGAAATGGTGCAAAGTGAAAAGGCAGAGAGACAGATAGAAAGACCACAGTGGGGTTGACTCTGCCCCAGTAACCCAGTCATGCTGACTGAGTAATTGTGAGACTAGACAAGAATGTCCCATCATCAGGCCCCTCTTTACATAAAACATCAGGAATATCCACAGGAAAAAGGATGATGCATGCAAACAAGGCTCAAAGGTGTCTAATTCAATTAAAGCACAACGTCATAGAGTTAATTTCAAGTGCATTTCCCATTCGTCAACATTTTGAGTGGTGGAGAATGACAATCATTCCGGTCCTCATCGGAACCGATTGGTCTTCCATGTTCCAGTGAGCTGAAGGCTGGGGTCAACCTGCCCCAGTATCTGTGTTAGAGATGAGTATGACGTGCCTCCTCTAAAACGCCCAGGAAGCTCCGATTCAAACTCCAATTAGACAGCTCTGCAAGCGTTATAATGTCAAAATACATGAGTTACTCACCAAATATGTGAGTTTTGCTGAGCAACTATCGTCATATACTCCCATTACGGCCGGTCTGTACTTCTAAAAAAGGTCTAAATAAACATATACAAGCACGCACAGGTCAGAAGTCTTCAACAGCTCAATTCATTTGAGGTGCCGTAGAGCAATTTTTTCGGTTGCTTGTACATTTTTATTTAGACCTTTTTTAGAAGTACATACCGGGCGTAAATAGAGTAAATGAAGATAGTTGCTCAGCAAAACTCCATATTTGGTGAGTAACGAATGTATTTTGACATTCAAACACTTAGGATTATGTCTAATGGGAGTTTGAATCGGAGCTTCCTGGGCGTTAGAGACATCTTGAACACACAGTTACTGGGGCAGGGTCGCCCATAATTTCCCCATGGAACTGCTGGCATCAGCCCTAGACAGCTGGACCCATGACTGCCAGCATTGGTTCTACCGGTAAGTTTTCTCAGACTGTATGACGTCGACTATATAGCGGCATAGTGGGCTGAATCACTACAAACATAAGGTCATCTGTAAGTTACTGCCACATTTCAGCAACCACAGAGGTTCCACCGGTCTCTACACTTGTCTCAGGGTGTGCCTCAAAGGTCTGGAGTCAGAATCACACCAACCCCTTCTTCCTGTTTTATATAACCTGCCTGGCCTTTCGTCTAGTGACAGGTCATCGGCACCCCAGCAACAACTACCTGTCCCTGCCCCCATCCCCCGCTGATCCCCCTCATATCCCCTAGCATGGAAGATTACAGCCTAGAGATAGGCAGATAGAGGGAGAGGATAATCATAGGGGATAAAGGGGGGAGGACAGAGAGATGATTTCCTTTGTTCTTGTCTGACACCATTACATCAGTGGCCTTCCCTGGACCAGTAGTGGTTCTGAAACAGTTAACAGGTGTAGGATGTGCAGTGCCCCACATTCCTGCCCTCCCCTGCCCCGCTCCCTTGCTCGCCCCAGCGCCACCCAACACGAGGCACTGCCAGTCTCTCAGTAAACAGCGCCGCTGCACTTTTACTGGCAATTACTGCTGAAGGTCACATCAGTAGAGAGTCTGAATTCCAGGGGAAAAAATAACACTAGCTCTTATGTAACCACTGCTTGAGAGCTGGCGGGAGCCCAAGAATCGTGCAGGACGAAGGCAGGCTACATGGAAACTGGGACATAGCTGCACGGCCAGCAGAAATGCCTATAGTTCCCCCTGTTGGAGGAGATCAGAGAAACAACCAGGGTCCCCTCACCTCACACACACTGCAGCGGCTCTGAGGATAGCTGAGGACAAGCAGGGACATACTGAGGCAGAGAGGACACCAGCACTGAGTGATGCAGAACAGCCATGAGGGGAGAGAAGAGGGAGAGACTAAGAGAGAAAAAGATTGGTATAGAGAGAGAAATAGAGAGGGGGACAGAGAGAGTGAGTTTGCCAGGGATAATGAGACTATAGCGATCAGCTGACACGGACACACACAGTGAGGAAAGGGAGTGAAAGAGACACACAGACCGCCGTGCTCTCTACTGCATAGACATTATCTCCATGAAATAACCCCCCTTAGGCACAGAACATATTGCCAACCTAAAGCCATATCTCTGCTCTCTGTTGATCCTATTGCATCATCCCCACCCCCCTGACACCAACACACACAGACACAAACAGACAGACACACATGATCAGCCCTACAGTACCCAGTGCTTCCCAGATGAATAGGTAGAGTAGTGTTCTATATGGCAGGCCTCTCCTGTAGCCGGGGTACGCCACAGAGGAGCTGGCATGCCGGGCAGAGCAGAGATGCAGGCTGAACACAGGGCTTATTTAACAGCTAACTGACAGACAGCCCAGTGCTGCTGCTGCTGTTTCTGCCGTGGAGGGGAAGTGTGGGCTTTGGATCAGCATTGGGTCTGGGACACCGCGTCCCACAGGGGGCCCCTCCTGGGTCCATGCACGTGCCGGATGTGTCGGTGGGGTGTGCACATTCTTCAGACACTACGAATGGCAAGGGTCTGTTCAGACAACAAAGAAGTAGTCTATCTGTTCGCTCCCTTTCTTAGGAGGGGAAGCAGCCGGGGATTTCCATCACTGGATAACACTGAGGGAAGGAATGAAGGGAGGAATGGAGTGAGGAATGGAGGGAGGAAATAGAGATAGAAGACACTCATGTGAGCATGTGACCTCCTGGCAGACATACAGCTCAGAGCGTAGACTCTCCAACGGTCATTCTCTCCAACGGTCAGCGTAACTGATATCTGTGTTTACCTCTCCTTCTTATCAGTCTCTCTCTCACTCCCTTGTTTGCTTTCCTTTTTTTCTGAAAGGAAGTTAGTTTCTACTGCTGTAACTCATTACTTTATTGTGTACGTGCTCATTTACTGGACAATAAAAGTTGTGACTAGATGTTGTTGTGACCAAAAAGATAACGACAGTAATACTGCAACTAATACTAAACCTTCTAAAAAGGTTAAAAAAAAACAATACAATCTGTGGTTGAAGGCTGTGCTCTTAAATGTCATACCTTCTCAAGGTAGGCTTTGGTCAATGGGGTGTCCTGTACAGTCTGGTGCTTTGACGTTGATAAGGGGAATAATAATAATAGAACAGAACACCTCTCTTGCTCAGAAGTGGTTCTATGACATCAGTCAGAATGTGGTGCCACATTAGCCCCTCCCATATGGCACTGTCCCCAGGCTTTCTGAAAGTCCCCTGACAGACGCAGTACAAGATGAAAGGGAAGAAAGAGGATATCTGCAGTTTCCACTTCCTCTAGGGCACGCACAGACACACTCCCTGATGTACATATATAATACACACGTGCAAAGCAAGCACACCTGCGCACACGAACACTCCGCTACCCTCTATGGATGTGGGGATGATCTGGTTTCCACCACTACATTTAAGGGATAGTTCCATGTGTATAAATACTCACACACCTGCTGTGGTAATGGTGGTGGGGTGCTTAGGGGCAACCACCCTGCCCCAGTCCCTCTGACCCCCCTCCAAAGAGAGACTGGGTATGATCAACACCCCAATACCAACCCTCCCTTGGCCCCACCCCCCCCTCGCTGCTCCCCCCGCAAGCCAAACCCTGGGCGTTGGCTCTTCATATCCTGCCTCTATTCAGATAAACTACCACTCTATCTAGCTTCAGTTCTGTGAGGAGAAAGTGGTGAATTAAGCTACAAACCGAATTTAACTTGTTTCAATGTTGCTTGCAGTTTGCACATAAAATATCTCCACTTTTCCAATTCAGAGGATTTATAAATATACTATATGGCGTAGCACTGCAAATGACTGGAAATGTCAAGTGACACAGTGCATAGAACACAACAAGAAAATAAAAATGAATAAATGCAATGTACACATGGTGAAAGGAATGGCACCATTAGGTATTTCACCACAGAAGTTCCAAAGATGCTAGGGCTAGTAAGTACATCATTATGACTGAACCACAACGCCATCACCATGTTCCAGTTTTTATGTCCTAAATGGCTACATCCACTGACATGTAGATTCGTTTTGAAATTGTGCGTTGTGGTCTGTCATTACACTCTGTGTGCACGTTTTCCTAAAATAAAAGATTCACAATGTGCAAGTCCAGTCTGAAAAGACACACTACCTCTGACACACTCATACAATATAAGTGTGCCTCTCAGTATACCACGACCAGCAACTAAACTTCAAGCAGATGACTACAATAAAGACACATAGCAGTATGGCAAGCTTGCAACAGTACCAGACAGTGCTTAGCATGCTAGTGGTGGCACAGTTACACAGTACAACACACGGCAACTGGCAGCTACTCTGACAGGCACAGAGAGAGCATGGGGAAGAGTTCACTGGGGTCAGCAGCACATAAGACAGCAAAACTTCTTGCACAGGCGCATCTAGCTACACCACTAGCATGAGACAGAAATCAAACGAAAGAAGGAAAATTATCAACCTCAGCCACATCCATCTCATCATCAAAGGCAATGTGCTGGAAGAGAAGAGTATTGAGGCAGAGTTAGTAGAGCTGGGTTAGGAAGAGGGGAGGCAGCTGGAAACAGACAAACAGTCGGTCAGAAACACACACCATGTCAGTTAACCAGTTAGTAAAAACACGCAGGTTACTACATCTCAAAGCAGTGGTCAGTATCAACAGAACAGCAGAGAGAACAAAGGGCTTTAATCAGAGATTAGTACAGAGAGTCATTGGCACATAAATGGTGTATTAGTGTTTATGGTGTATTAGTGTTTAAGTTAAATTAGAGCATGCTGGTACTGTTAACGTGTGTACATTATCTATCCCCAACAGCCAGACATGGACACGTCATTTTCAGAGGGACGCTGATCTGTTGTTGTTTATGAATGTCTCAGTGTGTGATTATGAATAGCATGGAGGATACCATATACACACACCCTTGGCATCTTATTCCTGCAGAAGGGCAACTGCTACTGTAGGTTATAAACCAAACCAAAAGACTCATCCCATCCATCACAGACCTGATGTACACCCAGTATCATCTGGGGGAGGGCACAGGGCAGCAGAGGAAAACTGAACCTCCAACTCCATCTTTGCTCTTAACCCCTGACCTCTGCACTGACCTCTGCACTGACCTCTGCAAAGAGCTACAGAATACTAGGCCTCCTAGCAGCACTCTGTTTCCTCTCATGATAAACCCCAGTGTAGAGAGAACCAGGTGAGTATTGTGAGGTGGTAAAAAGGGCCATATTAGTGTAGGTAGCTACCTTCTCCCCATAGCCACGGTCTTTGGTCATCATCTCCCTCAGAGTCTGCAGCACCTTGATACACAGCCGCTCCTCGTTCTCCTCCAGCAGCTGCTTGGTGTGTTTGATGAGCCTGGTCAGAGGTCAGAGGACAGGGACATGTGGATCACACATACTGCACTGTACAGAACTGTATACCACAACAACAACAAAAACACTTCAATGGTAACAAACCCTGATTTCAGAGAGCTTCTACTACAGTAATTACTGTTAAGCTTGTAGTTTAGAGATGAGGGTAAATGTCTTCTTGACATAATCCTAATTGATTGGCTTCATTTATTATTGGGTGTAAATGTTTGGGTAGAGATTGACCTCACGTGTAAAATGGTTGGCTAGAGATTGACCTCACGTGGGTCTTAGAGCTGTCAATCAGGTGCTGTATTTTACTGTATTCGTGGTTAGGAGCCTTTCAGTCCAAATTATCAATCCTGTATACGAGTTATGTGCTGAAGCTTCAATGAAAACCAGTAGACCCAATCTCTTCCTGTAGACCTAATCTCCTCCTGGCATACAGGCTTTCCATAAAGGTCCCATTGTATTCTACACATTGCGGCTAGTACTGTACTGTATTGCCTTTGTACTGTAAGTCAGTGTCCTGAATCAGTGTGAACTGGTGGTGTCTCACGTGCTATTCCACACATGAATCCCCCCTCCCTGCGGCCCTTTACAGTAGGCTAATCCCTGAGCCGGCACCTGTTCAAAGAGCACAGACACCCACACTCACGCCCTATTTTCCAATCTCAGCCCTTATCAAGCACAACACACACAGGAGTGGCCTGGCCTGTGTGTGGAAGGCAGGCTGGGAGGGAGGGAGGGAGCACTGTTTGAGGGAGCCAGAGCTCCAGCAGGCTCAGGGTAGGACATGTGAAAACAAAGCCCTGGGTCACTACCGTACTTAGCCTGTTTGGAGCGGCACGCCCTGCTCAATTATGAATTCAGTTACTGTGTACACTTACATGGGAAATGTGTCCCAACTCTAGATACAGTACAACAGGTACAGTATGAAAGAGCTGCATCAGGTTAACACAATGCATTCCTCAACACTGAGACAGTATCAGGAGACTGTACAGACTTTCCAGTCAAAATACAGCTAGGTCATTTTCTAGTGGATTAACCCTTATTTGGTCTATAACTGCTTCGGAAGAAATGGCTACATTTCAAAGAAAATTGGAGACTGTGGTTCATCACTGGACGTGGCAAGAGGCAGGTCGATTGTTATTAAACTTGTCAGGGAAGTGGGTGGCTTGCCGTGGTTTGTGGGTACTGGAGTCTTACTTGGAGATGAAGCCACCGCTCTCACATTTTCTGCGGGCGTCTGTGTTCTCCGGGAACAGCAGCTCAGGGCGATGCAGCACGTCCACCAGGACAGACAGCTCAGCTTGGACCAATGGACGCAGACGGTCCTCCAGGGCTGACACTATGTCCTACAACACAAAGCAGAGCAGAGGACAGGCACGGTTAGAGGGGTAACAGAACAGAGATAGTACACAAACAGGGCACAGGCAAACTCAGGGCATTGGCACACTGAGTGTTAAACCAGGGGTAGTTCTAGACTGATCCCAACTGAACTGTCTCTATGAGATTGGTGCCTGGGTGCCAGCCCCTACTGTTGAAGTCCTGCCCAAACAGGGTACAGGGAAGCTGAAAAAACATGCTGGTGAATTCTGTGACCTTATTGTCTCAGACTGCTCACTCGACTAATGTATAAAAGCAGAAGTGAACCATGGTTTACCAAAAACCTCCATTAAAATAGACCAATACCGCTCCCCTCACCCCCGCTACATATCCCCATGAGTCAGAGTCATCATCAACTCCATGGAAATATGCAAACCGATACAGTTGCACCATACTGTCTGTTGATGTAGACACGGACTTGTGTAGGAGGGAGGGAAGGAGGGAGGGATTCTGGTAGAGTTACTGTAAACAGTATGGTGGCTGCAAAGAAATTGCAACAAACTTAGCGTTAACTTTCTTGGGAATTACAAGTCTTTCATTTTACTATTGCACTTCCATGCATTCCATTTCTGGATTGGCCAATTGATCTGGAGTTCCAAAACCTCAGCACCTGAAGTCATGGGTCATTTCCCCAACAACAGAAGCAGGATGTTATTGAATTCAAAATCCTAATGAAACTGATTCCCTGTATCAAATGTTGTCAGAACTACACTTGAACCCACTGTTAGATGCAAAGCTACAGTAAACGTTAGTTCCTCAACATATTCCTGAGTCTCACCTGTAGCCTCTCTATGATGTTCCTGTAGCTGACGGACGTGGTCAATATGAAGTCTCACCTGTAGCCTCTCTATGATGTTCCTGTAGCTGACGGACGTGGTCAATATGAAGTCTCACCTGTAGCCTCTCTGTGATGTTCCTGTAGCTGACGGACGTGGTCAATATGAAGTCTCACCTGTAGCCTCTCTATGATGTTCCTGTAGCTGACGGACGTGGTCAATATGAAGTCTCACCTGTAGCCTCTCTATGATGTTCCTGTAGCTGACGGACGTGGTCAATATGATGTCTCACCTGTAGCCTCTCTATGATGTTCCTGTAGCTGACGGACGTGGTCAATATGAAGTCTCACCTGTAGCCTCTCTGTGATGTTCCTGTAGCTGACGGACGTGGTCAATATGAAGTCTCACCTGTAGCCTCTCTATGATGTTCCTGTAGCTGACGGACGTGGTCAATATGAAGTCTCACCTGTAGCCTCTCTGTGATGTTCCTGTAGCTGACGGACGTGGTCAATATGAAGTCTCACCTGTAGCCTCTCTGTGATGTTCCTGTAGCTGACGGACGTGGTCAATATGAAGTCTCACCTGTAGCCTCTCTGTGATGTTCCTGTAGCTGACGGACGTGGTCAATATGAAGTCTCACCTGTAGCCTCTCTGTGATGTTCCTGTAGCTGATGGACGTGGTCAATATGAAGTCTCACCTGTAGCCTCTCTATGATGTTCCTGTAGCTGACGGACGTGGTGACGGAGTCCCTCCTGGGGGCATTCTTGGCTGAGAGCCTCCAGCTCAGGATGGACTTGGTGACCACGTTGTTGGACTTGACAAACAGGTTGTTCACCTGGCTGTCCAGGTCCACAGGGATGGCAATGGCTCTGCTCTTGGCTGTGTGCAATGAAACAGCAGGATGCGAACTTAAGAGGGGTGCTCGTTTAACAATAGTTTAAAAAGTTGTTGAAATATTATATATATATATTTTTTAGATGATAGATAAAATGAGCTCATTGGATTTATTTCTCACACTTTATCAAGACAGTGTTTGGGCAACAGTTGGAGGCCAAGTGCAGGTATCTTACCCACATCAGACAGCACCTTGATACAGGCCTCAACTGAGGCCTTCTGAGTGGGGGTGAGCCAGTTACAGTGGAACACCCTAAACACCCCCTGAAGGAGCTGAACGAACACCGGCTGGCGAGTCTGAGGGAAAGAGAAAAAGAGAGAGAGCGAGAGAGAGATAGAGAGCCGATAGAGACAGACAGGAAGAAAGTAGAGAAGATATGTGAGGAGAGAAGACGTCACAAGATGAGTCAGAGGCTACACATTAGCCAAATCTAACATCCCCAGTGGTGATCAACAAAGGCTTTTGTGGTTTATCACAGACCATATCTCTGAAACCCAGTTTCACCAATGTGAGGGTGCTCTCAGACACAAACGGGTCATGTTCAGCAGGGAGAAACCAGAGAAAAGTTTGAAAGGTATTACCTGAATGCTAATTTATGTATTCTGTTTCAAAGCGTTTTATATTATACACCTACAGTAGGTAAGAGGGTCTAACACTTCTAGTATGCCTGTTGGTTATCACCAGAAACAGCTCAGGTCCCAACCAGGCCTAATGCACCAATGTCTAATACATACAGTATCACCACTACCACCAGGACCTAACAACACCCTGTAAGCAAGCTGAACACAAACCTACAGCACAACATATACCTCGGTTATCTTTCCCAGAACGCTCGCCTGTCATGGGAGAGAAGGTAATTAATATTATCATTCGGCGCTTCACATAAATTGTGTACATGTGTATTACTGTAAGTGTATGGGGATGTGGGATGGTTTTTAAGAGTGAGAAAATAACTACGAGAGAAACAAATCCTAATAAGGTCTAATGGGAGTGAAACTATTCCTGCAAAACAGGAAACCCAATTCCTAACAGGCTAATCTAGCATTGGTATTACTAGCCTACGCCAGGAGTGGTTGTAAAAGCCATTGAGTGAAGTGGACAAGTCTTTCAAGAAAAGCAGTGGGCTACTCCATCACACGGCACACCTCCCAACCTCTTTAGGCTACAGTAGACCAGAGTGATTGACCATTCTCTACTTGCTGTTTGCAACCACATCCCAGCAGTGATGTCATCTTGCGAAACAAAGATCTGGGAAGGAACTCAGGGGAGGACTAAAGACACCAGCATCTGTGAAGGGTTCTTGGAAAGTGCTGACTCAGTTCCATACGAAATGTATTGCTAGTCTAGGAGTGCTGGTAAGGAACACACCCAGGGGACACGAAACAAACCACAGCCGGACATTTACCCATACTTACATACACTTGACGCGCCACCTATTTGAAGCAAAATGTAATATGTTACATGATAAATGTAAGTGTGTTGAGCCTTTGGGGATAATGTTTCTTCCACACAGACAAATAATTCATAAATGCCCATTATGAAACGATAAGTCAACACATATCACTATCAACAGAAAATTATTGATAACCAGATTTCACCTGACAACGCAGATTATCCATCATTAAACTGCTTGGATTGTGACATGTTGTGTGTTATGGTGGTTATTTAAGTAATGTGTTGTTTTGTAGCCGTGGTTACCTGCAGACTGGTGCTCTGGTCAGAGAAGGGCGAGCTGAAGAAGGTGGTGACGATGCTCATGACCGTCTCTGTCACATATCCCTCATGAACCGTGTCTGCATGCTTCCTGTCACTGGTGTTGTTGCACACCTACAGACAGCAGACACAGATATACATGGTTCACTGGATCACACTTCTTCCCTTAAAACATTTCAAAGACTCCAGTCACACAAGTCACAGACTGTTCTCTCTGCTACTGCATGCCAAGCAGTACTGGAGCACCAAGTCTGGGACCAAAAGGCTCCTTAACAGCTTCTACCCCCAAGCCATAAGACTGCTGAACAGTTCATCAAATGGTTACCTGTACTATTTACATTGACCCCCTTATTTTATTATGATTTGTTGCTCTGACTCTCTTGCACAGGCTCGATGTACACTCACTGGACCTAACCACACACTCACACATACTACACTGACACTCCAACACACACACACACACACACACACACACACACACGCTGCTGCTACTCTCTGTTTATTATCTATGAATAGTCACTTTACCCCTACTTACATGTAAATATTAACTCAATTACCTTGACTAACCCGTATCCCTGTACATTGACTCGGTACCGGTACCCCTTGTTTATAGCTTCGCTATTTTTATTTTATTGTTTTCCTATTTAGCACATTTCTCTTACCATTTTAAAACTCTGCATTGTTGGTTAAGAGCGCGTAAGTAAGCATTTCACGGTAAGGTCTACACCTGTTGTTTTCTGCATATGACAAATACAATTTAATTTGATTTGCATCCTCAGAAAAAAAAAGAGGACAGAACATCCTTACTCCACCAGGCTGTGATCACACACTGTCTCTCAGCATAACACACTGTCTCTCAGCATAACACACTGTCTCTCAGCATAACACACTGTCTCTCAGCATAACACACTGTCTCTCAGCATAACACACTGTCTCTCAGCATAACACACTGTCTCTCAGCATGACTCTCCCAGAAGAAAAAATAAGGGTTGCAAAATTCCCCAGTTTTCCATAAACCCTGGTTGGAGGTTCCAGATTCCCTGCTATTTCCCTCCTCATTCTGGGAATGCTCCAACTGGGATTTCTGGAAAACCTGGGGAAAACCGTAACACTTTATTTGGAGAGTCTCCCTGTAGAATGCTTAACAAACTATCAACAAGCTATCAGTAATATGTCACCTGCATGTCTATTGACTAGCCATAAGATGTGTGATTATTTACCCTGCATATGTCCACCAGGAAGTTCTCAAAGAGCTTCCACATGTGATTGCTGGTGTAGATCTCCTTCATCTCCACCTCTGTGTCCACGTAGCAGTGATTCAGGAAGTTGATGTAGGCTATCTTCACCTGGAGAGAAAGGTCAGAATTAAAGGGCGACGGCACTTTGTGAATTGGCCTCGTTTTGAAGATTGCTCATTAAGAAATGCTAGAGGCCTGAAGCCAAAGGAGAAGCCAAATGAGAGTCTTGGTGGTGGGCTTTGATATGGGTGTGTAATGTTTGCATATTATAAACTGGGTGGTTCAAGCCCTGAATGCTGATTGGTTGACAGCTGTGGTATATCAGACCGTATACGACGGGTATGACAAAACATTTATTTTTACAGCTCTCTTATTAATCTAAGATAAATCAAGAAATCTGTAATTAAAATTTAGACATTTTTGCCGAGGAGGTCTAACTTAGGTGTTTGGTGCAGTATTTCTCAAGTAAAAAAATGTGCATGAAAAACTAGTCAGTGCACTCCATACAGTCTATCGAGTCGAGAAGGTCTGGCTACGCACTTAGGACTGATTTCTGAGAACAATAACACGTCTATAATATCATCTGCAAGCTTTCAAACTATCGTAAATAAAGCACAAGCTACACGCTGTTTATCAGTTCCCAAAATCACTTGGCAGCTAGCTAAGTTTCAACTCTGTGATTGTCAATGAAGCTAGCAAGTAGTAGCTAGCAGGCACATTGAGCAGCCAGGCCACAATCAGCTTATCAAGTCACTGGGGAGTGGCAACGTGTGTGCTTCGGTGCCGTTTTGTTTTTTACAACTTTCTCACGATCTATTACCAGAGTGTGCATCTGTCTGGCAGCGTTTCATAGAGAATCATGTTAAAAAATAGACACAAGATGCTTGCGAATGCCTGGGGTTTGGAACATTGACAGGTTGCAGTTGGGATACAAGTGTGCTCTGATTGTCTCAATTCAAATTTTGTCCCCAAAAAGTGGCAGACTCGAGTCATTGACACTATCAAACACATCACCAAGTGGCCACTCCATCAAGGGCTTAGGGCCAAGGGTTATTCAACATAACATTGGTGACGTGTTGTCTTATGTAAACAAGTCTGAGGCACTGCGTAATAGCAAGGTCTGTCTCACTTCCTGGAGGTTCTGGCTGCTAGAATAGGATAGAGCGCAATCAGCACAGCTGCTTCTCTCGAGTTAGTGGGAACTGGGCAAGTGGGAATGATCGTAATCCATACCCAACACTCCAGTAGTAGTGACGAACTCACTTACAAAACTCTGTTTTAGACGAGACTGACTTTATGACCAAAATGATCCTATTTACACTTTGCAGTCAATTTTGACACTATAATTTTTTCTGACTCATATCTATGCCACATAGGCAGTTTAAAATCAGAAAAGTTGGTTCTAAGGGGCAGTTGACCTTTAACAACTTTAGAGTTGCCTAAGTACAGAACATCATTATTCTCAAGAGCCCAGAATGATAACTTAGCCTAACTTGCTTCAAGAAGCATCTGTTCAGATGAGTTCCATATTATACAAATAGGGCTCATCATATCTTTCCGGCAGTCTACCCTGCTTGCCTGTTGGCCCAACCGACATTCACTCACCTCAGGGATGCAGTCCTCGTGGGTGACCACCCTCACTATGTCGTCCAGAGGCAGCAGAGAGTTACACTTGATCTCTGTGTAGACGTTCTTTCCCTCCGTGCAGACAGCCAGCAGCTCTACCAGGTGGATGTGGTACCTCAGAGGACTGTTCTGATCCATGCGGTCCCGTTCTGAGCGCATCATCGTGACCAGGGTCTGGAAGGACGCGCGATCATTGTAGAACACCAGCGCGTCCTCGCCTGAGTTCACCAGCTGAGCAGAAGGAAGACAGATGCACTGATCAAATGCTACTGACACGATATCAAATCAAAATCAAATCAAACTGTATTTGTCACATGCGCCGAATACAACAGGTGTAGACCTTACAGTGAAATGCTTACAAGCCCTTAACCATCAATGCAGTTAAGAAAAAAATGTGTGTTAAAGTATTTACTAAATAAACTGAAGCAAACAATAAAGAAAAAAAAAGAAAAAAAGAAAAATAACCAACAATAAAATAACAGTAACGAGGCTACTGGTACAGAGTCAACGTGCGGGGGCACAGGTTAAAAGAGGTAAAATGTATAGATTTGATTTATAGATTTGAATGCATGTTTTGTTTGGGTAGTATTGCATGCTTATATTACAGAAATGCATAGTGTGTTTCATTTGCATTATAATCATGCGTGCACTGCAATTATGCTGTCCCACCTCAGCCATGACGGTGTCCTGACACTTCTTGATGAACTTGTTCTCGGCCTTGACGATTGTCTGCAGGAATTTGAGGTATTGAACATGGCGGCCGTGCGTCTCGGTGCAGTGGACAAAGTGCTGCACCACGCGCTCGTTGATCTCACTGCACAGCTGGAAGTTATTCATGAAGATGTGCTGCATGGTGATTGCCTCCAGAATCTGAGGAGAAAGAGAAGCATTAAACTAGCTGCTTTATTGGCATGGGAATGATGGAGTACCACTGGTTCTTCCCAGCCCAGCGCCAACCCTTGCCCGAGGAGAGTCCACTCACCCCTGGGTTGAGGAACAGGTTGATGTGCTTGTGCAGCAGGATCTGGTTCTGCTGGTTCCCTGCACAGAAGTTCTGGAGGAACTCATGGGCCAGCTTCATGATCTCCTGCATGCGGACATCCTCACCCTAAAGTGTTCATCACAAGTACAGACAGACACACAACCAAAAAGCTGCAGTTTTCATTCAAACCTTCCACAAATGTCATTGTTGACCTCGTAATTGTCCAAGTCTATGACATGCATCCTCTATTGCTTGCTTCATGCCTTTTTAGTCGCTCTCTCTAACGCATGAGGTGATGAGAGTATAGGTCTGGCCCATCCTATCTTCCAGTACCTTCTCATAGGGGATCTGCAGTAGTTCCAGCACCACACTGTGGGCTCCCATGTTCCTCAGTAGTCTCTGCTGCTGCTTCTTACTCTTCTTCCCTGACGCTCCCTCCTGGACACACAGCTTGCTGAGCCGCAGCAGGATCTGAACAGAGGGGATGACAGAAGGGGCTCAGAGACTGACTGCCTCATTCATATCTGATCAATGACCGTATCTAAACGGGTGAAGGCAATGACTCCTTACAGTGTGTGATGGAACAATGAGAGAAAATTAAGAAGATGTTACCTCTTTCATAACCCTGTAATTGTAACTGCTGGTGGTTTCCGTCTTCTTTTTGTCTGAGCCGCCTGAATCCCCCTGCACATGGACCGAGTTAGAATGAGAGCTTGTTCATATTCATGTGAAGCATAACCAATGGGAAGTTGAAACAATACCTTCTTCTTATGGTCGGACTGCGAGGGTCCGTCCCCTCCGTCATCGTCCCCCTGCCTCTTGTAAACCCACAGCTCAGACTTTTCTACAATGGAGCGCAGCTGGTCCAGGTCTGACTTGATCTGCTTGTAGTTGTCCACGTCTTGGCTGGTCACCAAGAGCTGGACCTAAGGGGAAGAGGAAGGGGTATAACTGAATGTAGACTAAAGTTGAATATTCACAGCAAGCTAGGCCTTCAAGCACCTTATAATCCAATGACTGCTGCTAATTCATAAGATTACTTTCTAACTAAAGATACGATTATTGATGAGTGTGAGGAGCAATGATACAGAGGACCTGTGTGTTCTTGTGGCTGTGGAGCCTGTGGAGCCTGTGGGTTTGGGCGGTGGTCTACCTGTTTGAAGGCCATGAGGACCTCCTGTCTCTGGCTGAAGTGTCTGAAGAGCAGGTGAAGAGCCCCAGACACCAGGGGAGGGTAGTCATGCATGGTGAGGTGTAGCAGCACCCTCAGGAAGGTTCTCCCTCCATGGTCATCCAGGTCCAGAGGGGTGTTTTCCTCACTGCAGGACAACACAACAGGCTCAGACACTGGGGATACTTTCATAAGACCTACGCCATTGTTAATACAGTGTTACTACAGTTTTATTATGGACACTGACACTGCATTCTATTGTCTCAAGATTTGAAATGAGAGGGTTTACCTTCCTCCAAAGATCGCCTCTGCCTGCTCCTCAATGTTCTCAAAATCTAGCGTCCCTAACAAAACAAATGAAGCATTTACATTATTGTGAAGCCCTTTTGATACATTAATTGTATAATTCTGAAAAGAAACATTGAGTACAAATACTAAGACATGTGGTATGTCTGTAGGGTCAGTAGCTTGAGGGTAAAATCAGTAAGAAAAAAGGCATGGCTTTGGCTGTCAGCATGCTGACCTGTCATATTATTTCCATCCTGACTAGCACTAGATGGTGTAGCATCACCCTGAGGGTTACTCTCATCAAACTCCCGCTTGAAGATACAGAGTAGGCAGGAGATCCTGTAGTCCAGCCGCACATTCAGAATGAACTAGAGGGCAGGAACAGAACGCACCATTTAGTTAAAACACCAGGCTTTAGAGCTCACCACTAAGAATAATCATACAGAGAAAAATATGTCCTAGATTTTGTATAAAACGTTATTTGATACTATGGGAAATGAAAGCCGTGATAATTGGATACAACATCAGACAATCTATATGAAAGGCCAGATGAAAGGGGCAGGAGCTACCTGGAGGATCTCGATGATCTTGAGCTTGGTGTCCATCACCATGATGTCCTCCCTCTCTGGCTCTGTCTGGGTCTTGACCACGCCCTCCTCCGGCTGGTGGGTGGGGGTGACAGGGAGGAAGCCCCCCCCTCTGAGGACAACCTGGGTCATAAGCTCCCCCACCCCGTGGATAGACTTCATCACATTACTGCCTGTGGACACACACCTCAGAGTTGAAATGGGGCACTTACTCACACACAACACATTAACCAAACCTTATCAACTCCACCATGATTCCTCATAAAAGGGAGGTGTATTGAGAAAGAGAGAGAGCGCGCCTCAATTACAGTACATCAGTAACAACCAATACAGACAGGTAACAGACAGGCAGCAGTGTGCTGTTCACCTTGTTTTTCCTCTCCCTTCTCCAGCTTGGTGACGGGGTATATGGTGCTGACATGAACACAGTCCAGGATGTTCAATAAGATCTTAGTCAGTCGCAGCAGGTCACTGAAGTTGTAGAAGCCAAAGTATATGAGGTTCCTTGCCAGGTTCACTACCTTCATAGATAAGAGAGAAAAAGGAGGGGAGTCAATTCTCCACATATACATTATGCATTCCTACCTCGAAGTAAAGTTGTCTGGTTGACATCATGCTGTTTCCAGGGAAACCTACCTCGAAGGTGAGCTTGTTTTTCTCTCTGTCATCGAAAGGGATGTTCTGAGACACCACAGACATCAGGTAGTTCTCCACAAACTCCATGGTCAGGCAGAACCTCTCCTTGATCTCATCTCTGGTTGTCCCATCATTGTCATAGCTTAGAAAGGGAGAGAACATTATTGTGTAAAGGCTCAGAGGTAGCCTATAGATGAGCTCAGGTAATGTTGAATATCTCTGATAGGACTCTAATAACACGTTCATAAACCCCACTCACTCGCCGATGGCGATCTTGGAGGGAATCTCGGACCAGAGGCGGGCGTACTTGACGGGGGTGACCTGTTCCTGGGGGTCGCGGTCCACGTGCATGTGCAGCATCATGCGGCAGAAGGAGGCGCGCAGGTCGTAGGGCAGGTCCTCGTCAGACATGCAGCGCAGGATCAGGTCCACGTCCAGCTGGCCAGAGATCTTATTGATGGCCAGGTACTGACGGTCCAGACACATCCGCGCAAACAGGTTCAGCTGGTACCTGCAGGGGGAGAGGAACATACTTTAACATCTGGTCAGGGCTGTAGTCTGAAAGCAGGCCTACAAATAGACAATCAAACTACTGTCGCATATGCTTCTACATGCTGTACATCCAAACATGTCATAACACTAACTATCCAACCAAAACCCATTGTGAACCCTGTAAGGCCCTGATCCCTGACCTGTAATAGCTGACCACCTCCTGGTCCTCCTTCTGGCCCTCCTTGGCGTCCTGGGCCAGCTCTCTGACACTCTTGCTCCTGATCTCCTTGAGGTTGTCCCTCCAGAAGAGCCACACCTCCTCTTCATCCTCCTCCGTTTCCACGGAAGCCTCCCCAATTGTTACAGCCTCAATCTCAAAGCGCGACAGCACTAGCCTGGTCGGCGGAAAATAAAACAGACAGTCAACAAAGTAACTGCAGAAAAGAATGAATACTGAAACACACATCTGTGTTTTGTTTTCATAAAATCGACAGCATTACTAATAACAGCAATTGAGCCAATCTAATTAGAAATCATCAGATCAATGTTCAAACACATGCACACACCCACGCGCATGTTTTCAGTGCTAGGGTAAAAAAAAAAGTGATGATCATCATATCAAGGGGGGTTTACTTAGTCTCGATAAGGATGTCTGCGTTGGAAGGGTCCAGCACGGCGTTACAGATGAGCTCCTGAGTCACTGGGATGGACTTGTTCATGGACACACACAAGTCAGACAGGTAGTCCAGAAACCTGAAGATAAGGGACAAAGAGAAAGGGATTGATTGTCAATGTACAGGCCCAGCTGCCAGTAGCCACACTATAGGCTCCCAGAGTAGGCTTATTCAGGCTCAGTCCCAGTCCCCCTCCCAGCTCCATCAGATTCCAGTAAAAGCCCTCTATATCCAGACCCTTGGATCAGCATGTTTCTCATATGGCCAGTAGAATATGGCATGACTGGAGCTTGCCAGCTCTAATGACAGCAATTACCTCCAGTGCCACGGACCCACACAAATCCCTTCCTCTAATATCCTCATGCATACATTTGAATACATCTACATTTACATTTACATCTACTACATTCCCTGGCTGGTGCTGTACAAAGAAACCTCCACCCAAACAACCTTCTGTATCAGGCCCATGGCTTGCCCCCATCCTATCGCCCCTCCTCTTCATCTCACCTGGGCTCCCGGTTCTTCCTGACCAAAGTGACGAAGGTGTCAATCTCAGCAGCCGTGATGTGTTTCTCAAGGAGCTTGCGGTTGTTATGGAGCAAGGCCGTTATCGTGTCCTCAGCCAGAACGTCGTACCCTATCTGCTTCTGCATGAAGCGGAACTGCTTGGCTATGTACTCCTGTAGAGGGGGAGTCAGAGGGTCGGCACCATTCTAACGTACAACTAACAGGTCAAGTAAACATAGCCTTTTAACTAAAAAATGTCTGCATCTGTGCGTCTGATGCAACATCAATCAATAATTTATGCACACCGACCTGGTTCTTCCTGTAGTCTTGTTGGGAGTGCCGTAATACTCGGTAGCAGAGCCTGCAGATATGCCTGAAGGGGGCGTGGCGCTGGTCACCAAGCTCCTCCAATCGCAGCATGGGACCATCCCCGCTGTCCGTGAACGGGGCTTGGAGAAGTTTGAAAATCTAAAGAGGGATATTTATTCCATATGTAATTTAAAATTGTGATGCTCAAACTGACAATGTGGAGAGGTCAATTTAACCAAACCCAATGTAGATGATATTACGGCTGTACTGTATGATGAGGTGTACCTGTTTGAGGATGTTTTGCTCCCTCATGAGTTTCTGTCTCTCTCGATTGGGCTTGTTGACCATGATCTCAAGCACGTCCTGGCCAGTGTTGGGGATGTCACACACAAAGAACACCAGGTCCTCCAGAAGCTTAGTGACAAATCTAGAGACCAGAGTGACAGGGCCAGGGAGGTGACTGGTTCAACCAAGGTACCAGATAACACTAACTCCTACAGCCTGCCTCTCCAGAGAGAGGAGCTAGGAACAACAGCTAAAGGAGAAAAACTATGGCATACCTGGTGCAGGCGTTAAACGGTGACTCATCTCAACATGAAACATTTGTTCTACCAAATGTCAAAAGTCCAACAGCAACCTTCTAAAAAGACTTTCAACCTACCAGATATGTACGATAATGTAATAAAGTAGGTCAAAGGCCTGCTGGGACACACTTTACCTCCTCTCGTTCTGTGTTATAGTGCCCCTCTCCAGCTTGCCAGCGATGGATGCCAACACTTTACTGGCATCGTTGGCCAAGTCTAAGTCTCTGACTTCCGCTGGGGGGACAGGCACTATGGCAAAGGCCTCTTTGTCTTCTTTAACCGCTGATGTGCCAATCTAAAAGAGGGACGTGTAAAACATATTTTCAATAAATGGATTTTACAAGTCCGACCAAAGGTAACACAATATTATCCTTCCCAGCCACTCACCCGTAACATGACAGGCTTCTCCTCCTCCTTGTCAATTGGGTTGTTGGTGCTGTGGACCCATGTGTTGGTGCAGAGGTGCCTGAGCCTCACAAAAGAGTTCCTGAGGGAAAAGGACAGAGCAACTCATAGGGCAGCAACAATATAAAAAAAACACTATAGTAGTCTCTCCAAAACCACTCTCCAAAACTCTTGAGCGTGCCGGCTTTAGCCAACTCTCTTGCTATCTCTCTCAGAATGACCTTCTTGATCCAAACCAGTCAGGTTTCAAGACTGGTCATTCAATTGAGACTGCTCTTCTCTGTGTCACGGAGGCTCTCCGCACTGCTAAAGCTAACTCTCTCTCCTCTGCATTTGTCCTTCTAGACCTGTCTGCTGCCTTTGATACTGTGAACCATCAGATCCTCCTCTCCACCCTCTCCGAGCTGGGCATCTCCGGCGCGGCTCACTCTTGGATTGCGTCCTACCTGACCGGTCGCTCCTACCAAGTGGCGTGGCGAGAAGCTGTCTCCGCACCACGTGCTCTCACCACTGGTGTCCCCCAGGGCTCAGTTCTAGGCCCTCTCCTATTCTCGCTATACACCAAGTCACTTGGCTCGGTCATATCCTCACATGGCCTCTCCTATCATTGCTACGCAGACGACACACAACTAATCTTCTCCTTTCCCCCTTCTGATAACCAGGTGGCGAATCGCATCTCTGCATGTCTGGCAGACATATCAGTATGGATGACGGATCACCACCTCAAGCTGAACCTTGGCAAGACGGAGCTGCTCTTCCTCCCGGGGAAGGACTGCCCGTTCCATGATCTCGCCAACACGGTTGACAACACCGTTGTGTCCTCCTCCCAGAGTGCGAAGAGCCTTGGCGTGACCCTGGACAACACCCTGTCGTTCTCCGCTAACATCAAGGCGGTGACCCGATCCTGTAGGTTCATGCTCTACAACATTCGGAGAGTACGACCCTGCCTTACACAGGAAGCGGCACAGGTCCTAATCCAGGCACTTGTCATCTCCCGTCTGGATTACTGCAACTCGCTGTTGGCTGGGCTCCCTGCCTGTGCCATTAAACCCCTACAACTCATCCAGAATGCCGCAGCCCGTCTGGTGTTCAACCTTCCCAAGTTCTCTCACGTCACCCCGCTCCTCTGCACACTACACTGGCTTCCAGTTGAAGCTCGCATCTGCTACAAGACCATGGTGCTTGCCTACGGAGCTGTGAGGGGAACGGCACCTCCGTACCTTCAGGCTCTGATCAGTCCCTACACCCAAACGAGGGCATTGCGTTCATCCACCTCTGGCCTGCTGGCTCCCCTACCTCTGCTGAAGCACAGTTCCCGCTCAGCCCAGTCAAAACTGTTCGCTGCTCTGGCACCCCAATGGTGGAACAAGCTCCCTCACGACGCCAGGACAGCGGAGTCACTCACCACCTTCCGGAGACATTTGAAACCCCACCTCTTTAAGGAACACCTGGGATAGGATAAAGTAATCCTTCTAACCCCCCCCTTACCCCACCCCAAAAAATAAATAAAATAATAATAATTGTAAAGTGGTTATCCCACTGGCAATAAGGTGAATGCACCAATTTGTAAGTCGCTCTGGATAAGAGCGTCTGCTAAATGACGTAAATGTAAATGTAAATGTAGTCTACCTCTTTATCATATAATTCAACTAAGAGGCCTTTTATATCCAAAATAATGTTGTGGATTGTAATTCCTCAGGTGATTATTTCCAGTGTCAACCTTACAGTAGCTTTGAAAAGTGAGCTTTGCTTAAACATTCATAGAAATGTGTGGTAATACTGGGGAATACCAGCTGGGTTTACCCTGTTATCACACCTGCCAGTTACAGTATAACTGCCATCGTTGCTATGCTCTGTCAACTTGGATGAGCAAATGTTGTTGTCCTATTATGTAAACCAAGCCCTGTGAGGACGGGACAGGACGCTCAATAACTGATGTCACCCCATGACGACAGCTAGTCTTCCTGGGGTGACATTAGCCATCCTTCAGCTAATGGGGATCCTAATATAATAAAATGTTACTGATTACTCATGCTCTGCTCCTGATTCAAGCTCAACTATCTATAACAGTGCATTGTCTGCATGGTCACTCTGCATGGTCACTCTGCATGGTCATAGATGGCCGAGTCAGTAGTATCCCCCCAGTAGTAACCTCTACAATAACAACAACACTGTCATTGCTCTAATCTGATGAGTTACTCAATACAAAGCGAGAAGACAGCCCTGTATGCCTCTCCCCCGCAGGATGCTTGCTCTTTGAGCATGTGTATCAATTTGTTGTTTAAACCACCTAAAACCTACTTAGGCATAGATGCTGGTAATAACAGCTACAGCGGGCTGGTGGGTGTGATGACATGCTGTAACGTCCTCAAACAAGTGTATGAACATCTACGTCCAAAATGCAAACACTTTTATTTTTTGTGTGCCAACACTAAGGGTACCGAGTGTCGCTTTTTTGCACAACTATGTCTAGGGAAAACTGTCCGGAAAATAGGGCTGTTGTAAATATAGGTGATTCTGTTGGAAATTGCAGTCCAACTCCTTTTCCTGTCGTTGTTATGATGCCAATAATCATAATCACCTATATTCACAACAGACATTAGATGACAACAGACCGATTATTACACAATTTCATGAAACAAATCTAAATGGAGAAGAAACAAACGTCTTCTTTTTTTTGGGAGATGGCGGCATAGGTGCCAATGGCATATAAGATGAAGATCTGAGGGCCAGCATCGATCCACACCTAGGAACACCACATGATTGAACACGCGTGAACACACACACACACACACACACACACACACACACACACACACCCAAACACAGATTCTCACACAACAGTAGAAACACAACATGAACAAAGAACATGTCAAATAATAACTGCTGGGTTTTACCGGGAAAAAACTGCAGCTGAGCAGTTACTGCTTCATGGCTTTGTGTTACTTCACAGCTCTGTTCTCTTCCCTGAAGCACATGCAGATTTGGACAGAGGCTAGGTCTGTGGGAGGTTATAATGAGAAAGCGACTTCCCACTATCCTGTGGTAACCTACAGTTTGAGCCTCCTAAACGTAATAATAAAGTTAGAAAAAAGGAACATATGCCTTTTTCATCCTATTCAGCGAATTTCGGTGGAATTATCGGCCAATATCTATACATCTATTCATACTACCCTAACAAATCTGGACAAGACCAACAACTATGTCAGAATGCTGTAGATTGACTACAGGTCAGCATTAAACACTATTGTTCCCTCCAAGCACGACACAAGGCTCAGAGCCTTGGGTCTGGACACCACCCTCTGCAACTGGATCCTAGATTTCCTGACTGGCAGACCACAGGGTGTGAGGATTGGCAAGAACACCTCCTCCACACTGACTCTTAACACAGGGGCCCCCCAGAGATGTGTCCTCAGCCCTCTGCTGTACTCCCTGTTCACCCACAACTGCGTGGCTTTGCACAACACCAACTCTATCATCAAGTTCGCTGACGACACCATGGTTGTAGGCCTGATAACCAACAACAACGAGTCAGCCTATAGGGAGGAGGTAAGTGAAATGGCATTGTGGTGCCAGGACAACAATCTCTCCTTCAACGTCAGAAAAACAAAGGAGATTATGCCCCGATCCGCATCAACTGGACAGCAGTAGAGAGAGTCAGCAGTGTCCAAATCACAGAGGACTTGACAACAACACAACCACTCTTGTCAAGAGGGCACAACAGCGTCTCTACTTCCTAAGGCGGCTGAAGAAATTCGGCATGCCACCCCAGGTCCTCTCCAAATACTACCGCTGCACCATCGAGAGCATCCTGACAGGTTGCATTATGGCCTGGTACTGGAATTGCTCTGTCCACGACCACAAGGCCCTCCAGCGGGTAGGGAAGATGGCCCAGTACATCACTGGGACCGTGCTCCCACCCGTCCAGGACATCTACTCGAAACGGTGCCTGAGGAAGTCCTGCAGCATCATCAAGGAACCCACACACCCCAGCCATAAGCTGTTAACTCCCTTACCGTCGGGCATACGGTACCGGAGCATGAGGTCTGATACCAACAGGCTCCATCAGACTGCTGAACACTTGAACTGGACTGACCACTTGGACTGACTCTCCACACCTTAGCACACATGCACTAACTCATGTAAACACCCACACATACACAAAAATATGCATTCATGCTACACACACACACACTCACAACTGCTGCTACCAGACTCATATTATTACTAAATACTGCACAATTTAAACATTTGCCCCCCAATCCCTCCTTCCGAAAAACACGTGTAAATATTGTACCTTCCTGTATTATGCTCATGCTAAAATCTTTATTCTATTCTACTGAGCCATTTAACTTTATGTTTGTATTCTTCTCTTTTCTTATTTCTTATTGTTGTTTCTTATTGTTGTTGTGGCAAGTAAGCATTTCATTGGACGGTGTATACATTGTGTATCCTGTATATATGATTAAAAACGGTAAAAGGGAAATATCGTTCAATTAAAGAGCGTTCAGAAAGTATTCACACCCCTTGACATTTCCACATTTCGTTGTGTTCCACCCTGAATTTAAAATGGATTACATTTAGATTGTGTTGTCACTGGCCCACTGCCCCATAATGTCAAAGTGGACTTGTGTTTTAAGAAATAAAAATACAATTAAAAAATCATTCTACGCTGAAATGTCTTGAGTCAATAAGTATTCAACCCCTTTGTTATGTGAAAATTTGCTAAACAAGTCACATAATAAGTAGCATGGACTCACTCTGTGTGCAATAATGGTGTTTAAAATTAATTGTTGTATGAATACCTCAGCTGTACCCCACACATATAATGATCTGTAAGGTCCCTTAGTGGAGCAGTGAATTTCAAACACAGATTCAACCACAAAGAACAGGGAGGTTTTCCAATGCCTTGCAAAGAAAGGCACCTATTGGTAGATGGGTATAAAAAAAAAAAAAGCAGACATTGAATATCCCTTTGAGCATGGTGAAGTTATTAATTACACTTTGAATGCTGTATCAATACACCAAGTCACTACAAAGATAAAGATGTCCTTCCTAACTCAGTTGCCGGAGAGGAAGGAAACCGCTCAGGGATTTCACCATGAGGTCAATGGTGAATTTAAAACAGTTACAGTTTAATGGCTGTAATAGGAGAAAACTGAGGATGGATCAACATCGTAGTTACTCCATAATACTAACCTAATTGACAGAGTGAAAAGAAGGAAGCTTATATAGAATAAAAACATTCCAAAACATGCATCCTGTTTGCAACAAGCTACTAAAGAAATACTGCAAAACATTTGGCAAGCAAAACATATTTGTCCTGAATACAAAGTGTTATGTTTGGGGCAAATCCAATACAACACATTACTTAGTACCACTCTACATATTTTCAAGCATAGTGGTGGCTGCATCATGTTATGGGTACACTTGTAATTGTTAAGGACTGGGGAGATTTTCAGGATTAAAAAGAAACGGAAAGGAGCTAAGCCCATGCAAAATCCTAGAGGTAAACCTGGTTCAGTCTGCTTTCCACCAGTCACTGGGAGAGGAATTCACCTTTCAGCAGGAAAATAACCTAAAAAACAAGGCCAAATCTACAGTTGCTTACCAAGAAGACAGTGTTCCTGAGTGTCAGAGTTTTCACTTAAATCTACTTGAAAATCTATGGCAAGACCTGAAAATGGTTGTCTAGCAATGATCAACAACCAACATGACAGAGCTTGAAGAATTTTGAAAATAATAATTTTACATTTTAGCCATTTAGCAGACGCTCTTATCCAGAGCGACTTACAGTTAGTGAGTGCATACATGTTTTTTTGTGTGTGTTTTTTCATAATGGGCAAATGTTGCACAATCCAGGTGTTGGAAAGCTCTGAGAGACTTACCCAGAAAGACTCACAGCTGTAATCGCTGCCAAAGGTGCTTCTACAAAGTATTGACTCAGAGGTGTGAATTAATGTAAATTAGATATTTAATTTTCAATACATTTGCTTAAATTTCTAAAAACATGTTTTCACTTTGTCATTATGGGGTATTGTGTGTAGATGGGTGAGAAAAATAAATAATGTAATCCATTTTGAATTCAGGCTGTAACACAACAAAATGTGGAATAAGTCAAGGTGTATGAATACTTTCTGAAGGCACTGTATATTGGTGAAACGATATATCGGTTGGGCTTTAAGTGTGTGTGCACCTTCTCTGACTATATTCTTGGCCTGGTTGCGTAATGGCCCGTTAGGCTAACAGGCTTACTTCCACCACACTCACTCTAATGACTCGCACCTAAAGCCCAGTTTGCTGCCAGCGTCCTGGAGAACATGGATTATTTCAGGTAGGGAGGGGGAGCAGAGGGGGAGGGTGCTGCCAATGGTAGCCAGCAGGCAGGCACCTGACAACATGACACAATGCCGGCTTTGACACTATGGGGGGAGGGGGCACAGGCCTTATCTGATGTGGCGCTGGTGACAGAAACAACCACACTATTGTCATTTTAGCCAACACATGATGCAGTCAAGAGGTGAAGAGGAAGGAACACACAGAGGTAAATATAGAAGTACAGTGAGGGAAAAAAGTATTTGATCCCCTGCTGATTTTGTACGTTTGCCCACTGACAAAGAAATGATCAGTCTATAATTTTAATGGTAGGTTTATTTGAACCATGAGAGACAGAATAACAACAACAAAATCCAGAAAAAAGTATGTCAAAAATGTTATAAATTGATTTGCATTTTAATGAGGGAAATAAGTATTTGACCCCTCTGCAAAACATGACTTAGTACTTGGTGGCAAAACCCTTGTTGGCAATCACAGAGGTCAGACGTTTCTTGTAGTTGGCCACCAGGTTTGCACACATCTCAGGAGGGATTTTGTCCCACTCCTCTTTGCAGCTCTTCTTCAAGTCATTAAGGTTTCGAGGCTGACATTTGGCAACTCGAACCTTCAGCTCCCTCCACAGATTTTCTATGGGATTAAGGTCTGGAGACTGGCTAGGCCACTCCAGCACCTAGATGTGCTTCTTCTTGAGCCACTCCTTTGTTGCCTTGGCCGTGTGTTTTGGGTCATTGTCATGCTGGAATACCCATCCACGACCTATTTTCAATGCCCTGGCTGAGGGAAGGAGGTTCTCACCCAAGATTTGACGGTACATGGCCCCGTCCATCTTCCCTTTGATGCGGTGAACTTGTCCTGTCCCCTTAGCAGAAAAACCCCCCCAAAGCATAATGTTTCCACCTCCATGTTTGACGGTGGGGATGGTATTCTTGGGGTCATAGGCAGCATTTCTCCTCCTCCAAACACGGCGAGTTGAGTTGATGCCAAAGAGCTCGATTTTGGTCTCATCTGACCACAACACTTTCACCCAGTTCTCCTCTGAATCATTCTTCATTGGCAAACTTCAGACAGGCATGTATATGTGCTTTCTTGAGCCGGGGGACCTTGCGGGCGCTGCAGGATTTCAGTCCTTCACGGCGTAGTGTGTTACCAATTGTTTTCTTGGTGACTATGGTCCCAGCTGCCTTGAAATCATTGACAAGATCCTCCTGTGTAGTTCTGGGCTGATTCCTCACCGTTCTCATGATCATTGCAACTCCACGAGGTGAGATCTTGTATGGAGCCCCAGGCTGAGGGAGATTGACAGTTATTTTGTGTTTCTTCCATTTGCGAATAATCACACCAACTGTTGTCACCTTCTCACCAAGCTGCTTGGCGATGGTCTTGTAGCCCATTCCAGCCTTGTGTAGGTCTACAATCTTGTCCCTGACATCCTTGGAGAGCTCTTTGGTCTTGGCCATGGTGGAGAGTTTGGAATCTGATTGATTGATTGCTTCTGTGGACAAGTGTCTTTTATACAGGTAACAAGCTGAGATTAGGAGCACTCCCATTAAGAGTGTGCTCCTAATCTCAGCTCGTTACCTGTATAAAAGATACCTGGGAGCCAGAAATCTTTCTGATTGAGAGGGGGTCAAATACTTATTTCCCTCATTAAAATGCAAATCAATTTATAACATTTTTGACATGCATTCTTCTGGATTTTTTTGTTGTTATTCTGTCTCTCACTGTTCAAATGAACCTACCATTAAAATGATAGACTGATCATTTATTTGTCAGTGGGCAAATGTACAAAATCAGCAGGGGATCAAATACTTTTTTTCCTCACTGTATATGTCAACAACCTTTGCCCTACTGCTAAAGCGAGCCAGTTGATCATCTTTACTCACACAAGGACTTTAGACACTACACACACACTACATCTAGGAAAAAAAGCTCACAACTATTTGCACAACGATACATAACTCGTAGCACACCTAAATATGACATTGTCTGATGCCCATACAGTATATGCAGTAGTATATGGACAGGACCTGATCATTCCCATGTATTTGGCAGTGGCTCTCTGAAAGATCAAATTACTTCATGGGAAAATATGCCTTCCAGATGATGGTGTGGGGGTGGATGGATGGTTATGCAACATCTGGCTTCTGTTTTCAGCTGGGAGACATTACTAAATCACGGCATGTTGCAACATCTTCTGGATATCCTGATCCAGTCTGTAGTGCTGCAGTCCACCCCATCACCATGGTGTCCTGCTTCAAACCATACCGGGACTTTCCTGACTATCATTAGCTAGTGTTAACAAACTGGGCTACCTCCTACAACACACACACACACAGGCGCACACACACGCAGATATTTTCATGAGAAGAGACATCTTCTTAGAAATATGAAGCACTTTGAAAACAAAAGTGCCAAAATTGCACTGAGCTCAGCTGTCCTGCAAACTCACTCTTCAGATCAAAGAGCAAACAATCAGCCATCCTTTAGCTATCCTAAAATAGCCCTGAAATGATCATCTCTGAATTTGAAATGCTGCTCCTGGGTTTCTTAGACTAACTAGGCTGCGTGATTAGACACCTCCGAGGGCCCTCCTCTGTCTCTGCCCAGAAGCCTATGAAATGCTCTAATCCTGCCTACGAAGGGCCTGAGCCCAGAGCCCCTGCCAGACAGGAAAAAAATGGAAGGTGTGAAGAGCAGCCGCATCAACAGCAGTTTCATATGTCATGGTGGGTCCCCCATCCAGTCAACACAACGTGACTGTCAGCAGCAGCAGCCTGTGACATGGACACTACAGGAGGAAGCAGAGCCCCACACACGGCCACCCCTTCCCCTGACCAGACAGATTTGTATCAAGCATCGCACCCGTGCTATTTAGACCAGGTTGATTGAAGATGCGATGAAAGGCAGATCATAGAACGTACTGCATGTGTGGAGGGGTGTGATATTTGGCTGTGTACCTGGGCACCAGGGAGTCCCCCCCTCTCAGGGTGGTAGGGTCCAGCTCAAAGATAGAGGAGATGTCCATGCCGTCAGGGACAGACACCAGTTGGTACATGACCCTCTCTTGAGGGGTCCGCAGACGCGCTCGCAGGGCCTCATGGTCTGAGTCCAACTGCAGGTACAGTAGGGAGAGGACACTGTCAGTTTATGGAGCTTCATATTGAAATCCCAATTTAGCAGTTCAGTTCATAATTTCAATGCAGTGATATTATTGTCTGTGACTGTGTGTAACAGACAAGGCTGAGAGCATGAAGAATGATGCACATGTTTCCTCCAATCTGTTTATAGTTAGACTTGCATGGCAACAATAGCTTAAATCAGTGCTATATCAGTGGATCACATTAAGATGATAAAGCACTGCAACATTGTTTGGATTACCGCAGTCGTTAAAGACATTTTCTAATTTGCAGCTTTACAGTACAGTAAGAAGAGTGAAATTATCATTCTATGATTGGGTATCGGGAATAATTGACCAAACTCCCTCCTAACGTCCCCAAGACAAATACACCCACCCAAACATCTCTCCTTTGCTGTACCTATCAGTACCAAATCAGATGAAGACTGAGCATGAGGTTATATTGAGATAGGAGTAACACCAACTCAGATACATTTTCCCCTTTTAGAAGAGATAATGTGTTGTTGACTCATCCTGTCAAGTTGACTGATCTAAAGGCTAATTCATAATGCATTTAGCCTCATATTTTCACATTTGATCATTTGTAAATATTTATGAAAGCTGTAGGAAACAATCATAGAAAGCAGACCCTGGATTCCACCCCCCAAAATAATATTATTTAGCATATTCTTTAGCATATTCCCATATTCCCACACTGTATAATGACTCCAGCCACAGTAATGGTGTTATACTGCCATCTATATGTGAGCTCTAGTACCATATACAGAGAATCTATATGGCATGCTGACATGCTGTTGTGCTCTACAACAACTGCCAATGCCATTGAATGTGTAAATCTATTACAAAAAGATACTCTCCTTTCAGAATATACAGAAATAGCTTCAAATGATAATAGATGGTAATAGAGAATGGTTTAATAAAGGAAAAACCTGCACTCACTGAACTATGCTTTACATGTTCATGTATTTTTTTAGCAGCAGAGGTCAGAACAAACTGAAGGGTTCAGGAAGCAGCTTTCGCCAGCGTATAAGAACTACTCAAACACACTACACAAACAGTAGCCTGAATTGAGGGACACGAATGAAGGAAATCAGAAAAATATTTAGTTTAGTTAGTTCTCTTCAAGAGCGTTGATTATTAAAACATGGTTAAAGAGTCCCTCAATTCATCAATAAAGTATTTGAGAGGATGAAACACACAAGGACAGGCACAGTACCTGGAAGTTAAATGGAACAAAATCCACCACCTGGAGAGGAAACAAGATCCACCACAGATCAGCAGCAATAGGTAGGGCAAGACAGCAAACACAGCTTAAACATGAAACACAGAAATAGAGTTGTCTCTGGTTGACTTACTGAGGATCGGGGCTCAGGACATTCTTCCACATAGTCAGGGTTCACCTGAAAAGAGATCAGGAACCAGAATGGGATACTTAACTCCAACATGTGAGGAAGCAAGAGGTAACACATAGTCCTCTTATAAATGACTATAAAGTCAATCCAACTTAAACTTAATCAAGCCCTGTCATTAAGACTTTCAGATCGCATAATGAAGTACTGCAAGATGATTGTGCGCATGATACTCCCAGGTATAAATCAAATGAGCCATGCAAGTGGTTTGTTGGTGGACTACCATGTAAATGCCTACTGTCAGTTTGAGGGGACTCACCTCAGCAGCCAGGTAAGACCCTGTGGCAAGGTGTTTGAACCTGAACAGGCTGTTCCAGTAGCCAGCACCGCCCCGACACGGGTCATGGTGAACCACCTGACAGAAGAATGCAACACCTGACAGCATGAGAAACAGCGTCTGGACTGATAACATAAACGTAAAAACATATTGTAAGATGCAGGACAACCCACATAGTTTCACTTGGTTCTCACCGTTCCAGGTCTTAACTAGCTTTGGAACAACCTACAGAATGTCATGGCAATGCAAGGCTTCCACAATCAAAGATCTTGGGTAACCATGTCAACAAATATCACTGTCATATGTGTGATTCACAAGCTGCTGGTGGCACCTTAATTGGGGAGGACGGGCTCATAGTAATGGCTGGAACGGAATGGTATCGAACACATTAAAAACATGGTTTCCTTGTGTTTGATACCATTCCATTCACGCCATTCCAGCCATTATCATGAGCCGTCCTCCCCTCAGCAGCCTCCTGTGGTGTGATTGTGTACCACGACTCACACCATGTATCTACTATCTACTTGTCCTATGCTCACCTCCACTTCCCACAATGCCTTGCTGCTAGTAGCGGAGGTGGCGGACTGGCGTCCTGTAGTCCTGAGAAATACGTACTCCTTCTTTTTGAAGTCGTCACATGTCAGGAACTTCTCCTGCTCTGCATGGAACAGCCGAACAACGTCGCCCTGGCAAAACAAACAGACACCAGTCAGTATCATGGGGAAGGAGAGCCAGCTACCCTGTTTAATGTGTTATTGTGTCTAATACATTTCAATCAACTATCAGAGTACCTACTCCTTTAAGAATAATCTCCTTGTTGTCACTCCATTTCATGAACAAAACTACTTTCCAACTTGTGTTGCAGTTTACAGAGTTCACCTGAAAAACAAGAGGATGTCAAAGGCTGAGTTTAATTCTCTGTAATACAGCTGAGATAAAAGACATGTATTCACAATCATTAAGTTTGGTTTAAAAAAAGTGACAAAAACAATAGAGCCTGGGAGTCTTTGTGCATGTTGGGTTTGTACAGACTTGGAGGGCTGTGAAGGAGGAGCACAGTAATTATTTAGTCTTTAACCGAAGAGTAATTTGTCTTAATGGCTGTTGAGCTTTAAGAGTGGAGTTAGGACTAGCATAAATAACCCTTACTTAATCAACTCAAGACAATATTTCCATTTCACAATCCATTCTTCGCATAAAGTTTTGGGATGATTAGTATATGTGAAACAAGCATAAGACAGGAGCTAGTTGTACAGTGAATATGTGTCCTCATCTTTGAGAGGACATGAGAATGAACAATAAAGCACAGTTCTCAACATGGTTAAAACCTACACTACTTGTGATTTGAGGAAGTGAAATGTGCAGGCACACCTTGGTTTACACAACAATGGAGAATATGGTTTCTGATCCACAAGCAGTCTCCACCCAGGAGACAATGAAGATGAAACATGTATTCTACCTCATTGCATCCTGGGTTGTCTACCAACTGATGGCTACTGGCATGAAGGGGCTGTCCAGCATTCACAGGGTTAAGGACCACCTTGTCTCCAATCACCACCTAGACAGACAGGGGAGCAATCAAATAGCATTACTATACACACAGAGATGCATGATCAACTACACAGAATCTCACATCCACACATGCTCACACACATGCTCACACAGCTGTCCACACTTACTGTACAGAAACACTCAGAGACACAGCAAACAGAGAGGCAGTCAGAGAGGCAGTTTGATTGTCTTTGTTTTTATCAGACCCATCATCCAGTAGAAAAACACTAATAACACTTGTACATCCATTAGTGTCCTCCAGAGTGTGCTATCTGCTCATCTACAAAGGCCCCAGGAGCTGTTACGCATGACAGCCCAGAGACACACACAGGGAAATAAAGTGAGGGGTCAGACCAGTTTAGAGCAGGAGAAAAGTGCCCTTCAAGATAAACAGAAGCTCTCAACTTTTGGCAACAGTTGATTGCATAATATGAGAGAACAGCTGTGGTATCATAACAGCAAGGTGAAGTCCTGCTGCTGCACAGGATGTACTGCTGAACGGGTCTGAGCACTGCATAATGAATTCCTTTTAAACAACCATTATCCTCATTTTTCCCTAAAGTCTCTTTCCTCAATGTTGTTATAGCTAGTGACTGGTGCTATGTAACACCAGGCAAATATGATAACACATTGGACCATGTTGGCTACCAATCACTAGGCCGCCACACTGGGCCTCTCATCAGCACAGGAATCAATCAGCCAGAAAAACCCTAATGGCTAAAGCTAATGATGATGACCTATGGTAGCCTACTTGCAATTAAACCGGTACATACCCTGAGGCCAACACAATGTCAAAATATGAAATGATGTATTAATTTAATCTTACAACCTGTCAATTCTCTACACCACAACTTCTATTTATAAAGCAGGTAAACTTCAGCGGCATCAAGCGTCAACAGAGGAGTGCTGTCCTAGAGATCCCTATGGTAATGATCTTTGCTGTGGTCACTGACGCCAGGAGCTTTACGAATCTCAGGGTGTGTACCAGGAGCTTTACGAATCTTGCATGCCAGACTCTTCAGGTGAACTTTTAGTGAGATCATTACCTGTTAGGCTCTTAAATCACTCTCTACCTAGATGTCTATGGACAAATACAACTGGGACCAGCTAGCCTGAATTATTAAATGCTAAAATGTTAGACAACCAATTAACAAATTGAAACCTGGAGAGAACATTACCAATAACTAAGAATCACAACAATGAGCATCACATGAATGGATCTTGAATGGAAAAGCTGTTGTCTGGGCTTCACTGTTGTTCTATAGAGACATGACCAGACTTCCTATCTGACCTTTGACCCACACTAAAGCCAACACTGGGCTGGACACTCACACTGTCTCCCAGGGAGCGCAACTTGTAGAAGGGCTGGATGTAAAACCAGGAGCCCTCATTGCCTGCAGAGTCCAGTGTCACTCTCATTGCATTCTTCTCCAACAGGGCAGGGAGACGCTTATTCACCGTCAGGTACTTATTGCTTTTCAAGTGCAACAGCTGGAACAGAGTGGCAAACAACAGACATCGTTACAAACTCATGTGCATGTAAACGTCATGTACATTCCCATATTAGAGTTTGATCAAGGTTAAATATGTAATGCTTATAGAAGTCTCATACTTTGTCTATTGGGGTTTAATAGACAGATACAGTACATGTCACGGTCTGAGTCTATTATGGAGTATATCTACAGGAAGAGATTGAGTTAGATGTCAAATACTTGCACAGTGGCCATTCCTGAATATCCCCAAAGGAATGTGCCATTTGAAAATATCACACTTGAATGCTTTCTGGACACTTTTCTCCCCCTGGAATTTTTTTATAATACTCCAAGGCCCTTGTTCAAATATGTTTCTCATGACCTCCTTTGCCCCATAATTTCATCCAAGAAATCAACCATGTTTACTCTACTGACGTCAACCAGCATCGACCCCTCAAACAAGTATTCAGTGTGATGTCTGGTACTGGGAGACTAGACCTTAACCAACCTGTCTGATTGTGGTTGTTTGTTTTGAGGGAGAAAGCAGGGATTGAAAAAACAAGACAACTGTAGTTCGAAATGTCTCAGACATTTATAGATACATGTGTTTACAATGCATGCTCTCAAGTGCTGTAACCACTTACCACAGTAGGACTGTGGCAAATATCAAACACTGGCAGAGGAGCATAGCTGTACCCTACTGACCTCAATACCTTACCTGTCATCACACCCCTAAAACACATAAACCCCATAGACCTACTGTACCACTTCCGCCAATACAATTCTGAGAGCATGTTCAGGACTATTGTTCAGGAGACAGCTGCCCTAAAATAGATACAGTATATGTGGGTGTTTTTCCTTTTTAGATGACAGATATCACTCCTACCATAGTGTTCTGGTTGAGGGTCTGTCACTTGACATCAACTGACACACTATAGTGTGTACTTCTAGTGGTCCATTAGACCCGTTTCCCTGTGGCCTGATGATCTCATTTCAGCGTAGGAGACTATCAGTGGTCAAATATGCAGGGGATGATAAGGCCTGGAGGACAATTGGCTGCATTTATGGAAGTGCTGTATTACCTCTCTGCTCCAGGCTTTCCACTAACCTTAATGACACTGTTATATTGTGGCTTTACCAAACTCAATCTCCTTGTTACCTTATCACCCCCACTCTTCCTGCTCATACCTGAATGACATTTCCATACTGGATGACAGTTCCTAGCAGCTTTCGGTTCTCAGATTCATTCTGCTTCTTCTCCAGATCAGCAGCATGCTGAAATATAGGGATACAATGAGATGTCAGAGAATACAAATGGCCACCAATTAGATGTAGTGCTCCAAAAACACATTAAGAATAAGAAGCAGTACTTTATGGAATATAGATCTGGGTTTATGGCATGTTATACATTTGGAGAGTGTTTCACTTGTAATGATTTGCTCGACCTCAGCAACGCACGCAGTTGAGAACCAGTAGGCATAATGGGCAGCAGATGTGTTAGAGAACTTCTAATAGAAGCCAGTGAGATGAGGTACTCACGTGGAGTTTGTTGAGGAGCACTGTGTCAGTGGTGCTGTTTCCACCTGGTTTTGCTGCCTTCCAGAACTGTTTCTGTGCAGAGTACCTGTTCATGGGGCACAGCTTGAAAAGGCAGTCTGGAAAGAGGACACCACAGAGAAAACAGGTGATGATTTATTATCAAATTCATAACATTCAGTACATGATGAATAAAGCAGTGGAAAGTTGCCAAAAGGGCATGGAGGAGTAATCAGTTGTCAGTATAACAAGGGCACGACCGTAGCTAAATAAATATAACAGGATGATGGTGATTTTAGACATTTTGATTCTCTTGTAGGTGAACACATTGGCCTGATCAGATTAGAGCTCTCTAGACATAGCACAGCACTGATCAGATCTTGAACAGTGTGAGTCCTAACAGAAAACACACTAGTTCCTCCTCCGGTTCCGAGGTTGGTTACCTGCAAAGCACAATGATGGGAGACCTGATTATCTGTGACAGGGGTAAAAATAGCCGCTCCAAACCAGCACAAAGCACACCGTTAAAACTCGGCCAACAAATGCCACAGCGTCCAGGGATTAGCTGTCATGGGACGCATGAAGAGGGAGGATAAGCACAGGAGGAGGAGCCAGGGACAGAAAACGGGACAGTAGGAGAGAGGGATAGGTAAATGAGAGAGGGAGAGGAAGTGGGTTTAGGGAGTGAAGGAAACCAGGTTAGGGGGACAGAATGGGGAGGGTTATATGCAAATGCTACACAGTGGGAAGGAAGGGAATGCACAGTTGTGGGGTTTCTTTTTAAAGAACAGTTGGCAAACTGTGCAGGAAATGGCAGGGTACAGTCGGACACAACCCAGAGGGCATACACTGAGGAACGGAGACAGGAATCAACATAAAACAGGCGGCCATCGAAATGCTTAAAACAATGCTGGTTTAGATCAAATACATTTTAGTTTACACAGGAAGCCAACTGTACTAAATATTGTAAATACTTATTTCAGAATTGTCACATTACTACGACATGCTTTGCCTGATTGTGATTATCAGAGGTTAAAAGATTCAACAGGTCACATCCTTCAAATACCATTGCCTTCTCTCCTTACATCCATGAGATCACAGCTCTCTGAGCAGTGTATAAATACTATCACAGACAGCAACGAGTCGTCCTAGCAGAGGGTAATATTTCCTCGAGAGACACACCTAAGTGTCAGACATGACACCAAAGCAATTACTGTCGCATGGTACCAATCCCAGATCAGAGAGAAAAAAGTGAGGTTTAAAACGCCGGGCATAAGCTCCCTGGAAACCAGCTTAACCAGGCTATTAATAATCAACTGGGATTTTAGGATTTAGTCTGGTACACTTTCCCTCTGCTCAGTGCTCAGGCGCACTGAGATGTAGCATGGAGTCTCAGTCCTGTTGCTGTGGCTACCTGGAGGAGTGATGATGAGGCCTGGGAGAGGCTGGAGAGGTGGGGTGAACACGAATACGCTGCAGAACCACACACCAATCTTGAAGCACCATGAGGACACTGAGGCCCCTGCGGTTGCAACATGCTCATGTCACAGCACCTACTAGGAGGGTTGTCATATGTCATCTCTTGAGGTCATCTCCACAATAGGCCGCCCAATACTACAAATGCAATGCCTGTCAAACACAGAGACAACGCTATCCTCTCACTGTGCAGGTGAACTGTTACCAGGCTTGTTAGGACTCTCAGAACACCACAAGTGCTCCACTGTTCTACACCAATCTCAAGAGTACTTTCTTTGGAATCACAATAACCCTGGTACCTTGAATCTGCCATAGATGCCCACAGTGGTAGAGCTTCAGGTAACAGTCGGAACTGCTGATATTGCCCTTAACAACAAAGTAGTTCACTACCTACCCGCACAGTATTCACCTCATGCATTCAATGTAGGCTAAGCTCTTGTGGACAGACAACATAAACATAGCATCTGACCAATTTACGTAAGATTTGAGTTCTGGGTTAACCAAGGTTAAATGTAGGCTGATGTTTTGCTCTGGTCCAAGTGCATGCATCAGATCTGAACTACAATACAAGCTGCATGCGCGCACATGGACCAGAGCTAGTCTGGCGGTAAACAAAGTGCTCAGAAGAAGTTTATTTCATAATATGGTGAAATGACAGCTTAAAAACGCTTGTCAGCACTCCAGCAACAACTTTACTTCAGTGAGTAACGGATTTTCGGCCAATTTTATTTAGTGACTGGCTTCAATATATTGAGCTAGCTAGGTGTAGCTAACGCTAGCTAGACTCGCACAGCTAACTAGTGCCTGCTGAATGAAGATTTCATCTTTCTTCTTTTGGATTAAAACTTGGGTGTCAGCTGATTTTTTAAACAACAGTATATCTAGCCGTCTTTCATGTTTTTGTATCGTTTTGCTAGGTAGTTAGGTTATTTCTGTAGCTTAGTTAGCTTATTAAATAGCTAGAACGAGCTGCAGCCAGCAGCAGCTGCAGCCCGCGAGAAATGACCCAGTGAAAGTAATCGTCCCTTCCGCTTCACTTCTGGATCATGTCCCCTAATCTTTTGAATGGGTTTGACAATTATATAATAACATGTGAAAACTCGGTCATTTAACGGGTATAACGCTGCTCCCTAAACTGAAAGTGGAGTGTGGCAGCTGCCCACTTTGCCCCAAAGCCGCTTTGACCAGGCGCTATGGCCTCCTATGCTGACTGTAGCCTATGCTTTGGTTTGGAGACATGTCACACAGTCTTGAGCAGGGCTTTGCCTTTTATTTTCAAGTCAGTTATACATTCACAAGACAATGTTATGCCCCTGTTTTTTTGCTCCTTTAAAAAAGAGATGTGGTACACCTTGTTAACTTCCATAAACATGGCTCTCTCATTCCACTGGCCAATGATGATAGATTCCAGAATGATGAGCTCACTCTACAAACACTAGTGCCGTCCTTCTCACAGTAAGTCAGTTGAGTATTGATCAATCTCCAGCCAAGCACAGTGCTGCTCAATGAGTGAGTGTGCCTCTCTGTATGTCAGAGATATTAGGCCTGATTTGGTTCCAGGAAATCTGCACACTCTATTTTTTTAATTATTTTTCTCACCTTTATTTAACCAGGTAAGCCAGTTGAGAACAAGTTCTCATTTACAACTGCGACCTGGCCAAGATAAAGCAAAGCAGTGCGATAAAAACAACAACACAGAGTTACATATGGGGTAAAACAAAACATAGTCAAAAATACAACAGAAAATATATATACAGTGTGTGCGAATGTAGTAAGTTATGGAGGTAAGGCAATAAATAGGCCATAGTGCAAAATAGTTACAATTTCGTATTAACACTGGAATGATAGATGTGCAAAAGATGATGTGCAAATAGAGATACTGGGGTGCAAATTAGCAAAATAAATAACAATATGGGGATGAGGTAATTGGGTGGGCTAATTTCAGAATGGCTATATACAGATGCAGTGATCGGTAAGCTGCTCTGACAACTAATGCTTAAAGTTAGTGAGGGAGATAAGTGTCTCCAGCTTCAGAGATTTTTGCAGTTCATTCCAGTCATTGGCAGCAGAGAACTGGAAGGGATGGCGGCCAAAGGAGGTGTTGGCTTTGGGGATGACCAGTGAGATATACCTGCTGGAGCGCAGACTACGGGTGGGTGTTGATATGGTGACCAGTGAGCTAACATAAGACGGGGATTTGCCTAGCAGTGATTTATAGATGACCTGGAGCCAGTGGGTTTGGCGACAAATATGTAGTGAGGGCCAGCCAACAAGAGAGTACAGGTCACAATGGTGGGTAGTATTTGGGGCTTTGGTGACAAAACGGATGGCACTGTGATAGACTACATCCAATTTGCTGAGTAGAGTGTTGGAGGCCATTTTGTAAATCGCCGAAGTCAAGGATCGGTAGGATAGTCAGTTTTACGAGGGCATGTTTGGCAGCATGAGTGAAGGAGGCTTTGTTACGAAATAGGAAGCCGATTCTAGATTTAACTTTGGATTGGAGATGCTTAATGCATTCTCTCAACCAGCTTCATGAGGTAGTCACCTGGAATGAATTTTAATTAACAGGTGTGTCTTGTTAAAAGTTAATTAGTGGAATTTCTTTCCTTCTTAATGCATTTGAGCCAATCAGTTGTGTTGTGACAAGGTAGGGGTGGTATACAGAAGATAGTGAAGGTCAGTCAATCCGGAAAATGTTAACTTTGAAAGTTTCTTCAAGTGCAGTAGCAAAAAACATCAAGCGCTATGATGAAACTGGCACAAATGAGGACCTCCACAGAAAGGAAGACCTAGAGCTACCTCTGCTGCAGAGGATACGTTCATTAGAGTTAACTGCACCTCAGATTGCAGCCCAAAAAAATGCTTCACAGACCAAGTAACAGACATGTCAACATCAACTGTTCAGAGGAGACTGCTTGAAAATCAGGCCTTCATGGTGAAATTGCAGCAATGAAACCACTACTAAAGGACACTAATAGTAAGAGACTTGCTTGGGCCAAGAAACACGAGCAATGGACAATGTGGAAATCTGTCCTTTGGTCTGATGAGTCCAAATTTGAGATTTTTGGTTCCAACCGCCATGTCTTTGTGAGACGCAGAGTAGGTGAACAGCTGATCTCCGCATATGTTGTTCCCACCGTGAAGCATGGAGGAGGAGGTGTGATGGTGTGGGGGTGCTTTGCTGGTGACACTGTCAGTGATTTATTTAGAATTCAAGGCACACTTAACCAGCATGGCTATCACAGCATTCTGCCGCGATACGCCATCCCATCTGGTTTGCGCATAGCTGGACTATCATTTGTTTTTCAACAGGACAATGACCCAAAACACACCTCGAGGCTGTGTAAGGGCTATTTGACCAAGGAGAGTTATGGAATGCTGGTTTGGGATGAGTTGGACCGCAGAGTGAAGGAAAAGCAGCCAACAAGTGCTCAGCATATGTGGGAACTCCTTCAAGACTGTTGCAAAAGCATTCCTCATGAAGCTGGTTGAGTGTGTGCAAAGCTGTCATCAAGGCAACATGATTCCATAGTTTTGATGTATTCACTATTATTCTACAATGTAGAAAATAGTAAAAATAAAGAAAAACCCTTGAATGAGTAGGTGTGTCCAAACTTGACTGGTACTGTATATATAATCATTTTGTTTTTTCTTCCTCTGCATTTGTAGCCAGTTAAACAGCATGGCCAAATAAGGTCAGTGGGAAAATCTAATCAAAGTTCATTGGTTGCGTACAGAGATTTGCAGATGTTATCGCAGGTACAGCAAAATGCTTGTGTTTCTAGCTTCAACTGGACAGTATATGAATAGAAAAGTTCTGTACAGCAGTAGTTATATAGGATGAGCCATGACTAGAATACAGTATACAGTGACATGCGTTTTTCTGGATTTTGTTGTTGTTATTCTGTCTCTCACTGTTCAAATAAACCTACCATTAAAATTATAGACTGATCATTTCTTTGTCAGTGGGCAAACGTACAAAATCAGCAGGGGATCAAATACTTTTTTCCCTCACTGTCCATGCCCGTCTGAAGTTTGCCAATGAACATCTGAATGATTCCGGGGGGGACTGGGTGAAAGTGTTGTGGTCAGATGAGACCAAAATCGAGCTCTTTGGCATTAACTCAACTCGCCGTGTTTGGAGGAGGAGGAATGCTGCCTATGACCCCAAGAACACCATCCCCACAGTCAAACATGGAGGTGGAAACATTTTGCTTTGGGGGTGTTTTTCTGCTAAGGGGACAGGACAACTTCACCGCATCAAAGGGACGATGGACGGGGCCATGTACCGTCAAATCTTGGGTGAGAACCTCCTTCCCTCAGCCAGGGCATTGAAAATGGGTTGTGGATTGGCATTCCAGCATGACAATGACCCAAAACACACGGCCAAGGCAACAAAGGAGTGGCTCAAGAAGAAGCACATTAAGGTCCTGGAGTGGCCTAGCCAATCTCCAGACCTTAATCCCATAGAAAATCTGTGGAGGGAGCTGAAGGTTCGAGTTGCCAAACGTCAGCCTCGAAACCTTAATGACTTGGAGAAGATCTGCAAAGAGGAGTGGAACAAAATCCCTCCTGAGATGTGTGCAAACCTGGTGGCCAACTACAAGAAACGTCTGACCTCTGTGATTGCCAACAAGGGTTTTGCCACCAAGTACTAAGTCATGTTTTGCAGAGGGATCAAATACTTATTTCCCTCATTAAAATGCAAATCAATTTATAACATTTTTTACATGAGTTTTTCTGGATTTTGTTGTTGTTATTCTCTCTCTCACTGTTCAAATAAACCTACCATTAAAATTATAGACTGATCATGTCTTTGTCAGTGGGCAAACGTACAAAATCAGCAGGGGATCAAATACTTTTTTCCCTCACTGTATATGTGCTTTCTTGAGCAGAGGGACCTTGCGCACGCTGCAGGATTTCAGTCCTTCACGGCGAGGTGTGTTACCAATTGTTTTCTTGGTGACTATGGTCCCAGCTGCCTTGAGATCATTGACAAGATCCTCCCGTGTAGTTCTGGGCTGATTCCTCACCGTTCTCATGATCATTGCAACTCCACGAGGTGAGATCTTGCATGGAGCCTCAGGCAGAGGGAGATTAACAGTTATTTTAATAATAATAATAATAATAATAATAATAATAATAATAATAATAATAATAAGCCATTTAGCAGACGCTTTTATCCAAAGCGACTTACAGTCATCTGCGCATACATTTTTTACGTATGGGTGGTCCCGGGATCGAACCCACTACCCTGGCGTTACAAGCGCCATGCTCTACCAATTGAGCTACAGAGGACCACTTTTGTGTTTCTTCCATTTGTGAATAATCGCACCAACTGTTGTCACCTTCTCACCAAGCATCTTGGCGATGGTCCCATTCCAGGCTTGTGTAGGTCTACAATCTTGTCCCTGACATCCTTGGAGAGCTCTTTGGTCTTGGCCATGGTGGAGAGTTTGGAATCTGATTGATTGATTGCTTCTGTGGACAGGTGTCTTTTATACAGGTAACAAGCTGAGATTAGGAGCACTCCCTTTAAGAGTGTGCTCCTAATCTCAGCTCGTTACCTGTATAAAAGACACCTGGGAGCCAGAAATCTTTCTGATTGAGAGGGGGTCAAATACTTATTTCCCTCATTAAAATGCAAATCAATTTATAAAATTTTTGACATGCGTTTTTCTGGATTTTGTTGTTGTTATTCTGTCTCTCACTGTTCAAATAAACCTACCATTAAAATGATAGACTGATCATTTCTTTGTCAGTGGGCAAACGTACAAACTCAGCAGGGGATTGGATCAAATACAGGGGATTGGATCAAATACTTTTTTCCCTCACTGTATATATTGAGCTCCTGCGCCAAAAACAAAAACCATCCATTTAGCAAAGCACACAACTAACCTCCCAAACTAACCAGAAGCAATAAATTGTCCTGAGCAACAACAGACATGTCTCCTTACATTTAATCATCTTCCATTGTGCTACAGTGCAGGTGATCTTTGATATCTGGCGACAGATGGAGAGTGCAATATACTAGAGTAGTTGTGGTGTGTTTCATTACATCTTCATTTTGTCACCATTGTCACTGAAGGTTGGCATAATATAGAGTGATTCGTGTGACAATGACACGGACGTGCTATTTAAAGTAAAGCGGGGCTCTCATTTTCAGGGATAAAAAGGTCAATTTAATTTCCATGACCTTGATTAGAGTAAATGAAACTCACATTGGCAATCACGTCATTTCACTCAAAAATTAATTTACAAAGGTCTGCTCTGGAGGCCTGCCAGGGTCTTATGCTAATTTGAAAAGGGCTAGATTAGAGACAGAGACAGTATGCAGCCAGCGCTTCCAGGTGCCCATCAGCAGGAGTCTCACAACCACTCCCAGCTGGCCTTCCCTGCTGCTACCAGAATCATTCTGCACTGACCTTGAGGTAAAGGGAGGCATCCACTGTAAAAACTGTCAACACTCAGGGTGTTTTATTGTCTGACATCACTGATCAGACTAGAAAGCTCAATAACGTATAGGCTAGGTTGTATGGTTTTGAGTTAGTGGGGGAAAAAGTTACATATCTTCACCAAGACTGAGAATAAAGTTAAAAACAGAAGCTTGATATAAACCCCAACCAATCATACAAATCCATAGCTGGTAGATAGCCTTTTCTCCAAAATAACCTAATTAGTTTCAATCAAAGTGCTAGTATAAATGAGTGTAGTCTATTATTATCATATTCTGTACCAAATACATTTCATTATGGAATTCATCATTTGCATTACGCACAAAGCAGATGTGTTCAACATGAGCTAAAAAGAGACAGTAGCACACGTCATCCACCGTTGAAATCTCCATCTGGGAAAGGCCAATATGTTGTTACTATGGCAATAGGATTGACCCGGTTCCAGTTCACACTGACAGACAGCCATGGCAATAAATGAAGAACACCAGTGAAGGCACGAATCCCAGTGTACTATCACCTCTCTAATCAGAGTAATTGGGCCGACATTTTGGTGTTGTTGAATGACTACACAACAAACCCATGGCATTAGACATGTTGAAGCAATAAACGTGAACTCCAAAACATCCAAGTATGAAATGTGGTAGGATTTACAACAGCAGTGGCATCAAAATACACTCTTATAATTAATTTTTTTCTTTGAGGACAGTGTTGTTGTTAATGGATTAAGATGCCTCTGAAGATATGAAGCTCTAGTTACAGTGAAAGTGAAGTAAACAGAATTTCACATCAAACAACTATTTTGGTTGCTGCCTCAGCCTGCTCAAATCCAAACCCCAATAACAGCACGCTGGGAACAAGGGTTTGCATTCAAATCAAGACATCGCAAGGGCTTGCTTTAGGCACAAATGGGCCTCAGAACCACCAAACAGTTTGAGATTTCACAGACAACATTACTGTAGGCAAACCCTGGCAACACACAGGAGTCCCAACACACAGGAGTCCCAACACCCAGTAGGATGCATCATCTGCACTACTGCATCAATCTATATGACTTGGAATGCTAATCTGTTCATGGAAATACTTCGGATATGAGCAGTGAAGCCTATCAGACCTGTCAAGAAAGATATACTGTATGTAGATCAATCAGATCTAATGCATGAACCCCTGACCATGACTCATGACCAGGCTATATACTAGCTTAATTCTTATAGTCTTGAAGTCAAAGCTCTTCTCTGTCCTGGCTCCCCAACAGTGGAACAAGCTTCCCCCTAATGTCAGTCCCTACCCATTTTCCCCAAAACATCTGAAACCCTATCTCTTTAAAGAGTATCTTAAATAAGTCTCGCGAGTATATTAAAAGAAGAGTATCTTAAATATGTCCCCCCCTCCCCCGTGCTACGATTGTGATGTTGTTGTCTCACCTAGCTACCTTAAGATGAATGCAATGTAAGTCGCTCTGGATAAGAGCGTCTGCTAAATGACTAAAATGTAAATGTAAAATGTAGTCCTGAGAACAATCCTGAATGCCTTGAGAAACTGCCAGTAAATAACCTATTATCCCTTACTCACAGTACACACAAGGCAGTTCCAGACAGTCTCTGAACACTAAACTCAGAGATGTCCTGGCGTAATCCACACTGCTTACATTTGCAGGAAATGGACTGCATAAGTCAGCCTCAATAATGAAAGAAACATGGCACTCTGCCATCAAAACGCTTCACAGAATATTTCACAGTCTAAAGACATTTGATACATTTGCAAACACCTTTAAATTTCAAAATGCTGCCACTACCAGATAAAAGTATGAGAATAACATGGAGGAAAATTCCTTAACTTCACATTAGGTTTAAGTGGTGAAAGAACAAAGGACATCAGAGTTAAACATTCTCCCCCCCACCCCCCAGAGTCAACACAGGGTACAGGCGTCTCACTAGGTGACACAATGTGGTGTATTAACTCTACTGTAATGTAGCCTGTCCTGTAATATAGCCTAGTGCCACATTTCACTGAGGGGAGGCAGGTGAATGCAAGGTTAATTAGCTTCAGTAGAGTTTCATTTCCACAGACATCAGTCATAACAAAGGATCAGGGGTTACGGCTCCATGTCTCAACAGACCTTTTAAATCTCCTCTGTGTCAACTACTGATCTAATGGTTACATGGAGCACAAACCACTGGGTTAAACACACAGTACTTAGTTATAATCCTCTTGCCATGATGGCCTCAGAGTTGGAAGAGATTCTACAAGGCTTTTTCCAGCTGACATAGCCATTGTAATGACATCTGAGCAGAGATTGGACTGAGAGAGCAAACTAGAGTGAAAAAAGGTCACATTCATCAATGCCATAACTCCTTACTGTAGGATCAAAAAGTCAGCATGGGTTGAATGCTTGCATTTGAACAGCAGCCTGAACAGAGTGATAGAAGGGATGTATTCATTACCTCTGAACTTCTTGGGCGGGTTGTTGAGGTCCCCTGTGTCTGGCTGTACCACACAGCGGTCATCCACAAGCCTGGGAACAGGAAGAGCAATGACAGCTGTCAATCAAACACTCATAATACTCATCCCTTTGACTACACATACATCTAGCCTGCAGAAACAGACAAACAATACATCAGCCACAAGTTTCATTCTGAGCAGTGAATGCCACTGATACACGTGCATACACACAGCACAAACAATGATGTTGAGTCGCTCAATACTGTAATCCCCATCTGTATTATAACCTCTCTTTTACTCATAACTATGACCTATATTTGATCTATGCTATTCCTAGCCTGGCTGATGCAACTCACATGGTCAGTGAGGGAGAGCTGACAACACTGGTCTGGACAGGAGGCCGTTGTAAATGCAGTATTTGCACAGATTTGTGCTTATTTCTTGCTGAGCTTAGATTGGTTCTCTTTAGACGTTTTCTTTTTCTGGGGGGGTTGAGACAACAACTGTATTGGAAGGGGGCGGAGCTCGGGGCTTTGTGTGGCTGTACATGTGGATGTTTGAGTAAGAAAGACACAGATGAAAACCAATCAATAAAAAAGAACAGCCCCTTCATTATCGACGCATTGTGCCGACAACATCAAAAGAGCCTTTCCAGACTCTGAAGTCTTGGAGTTAGGTGGCAGCCAGACTATGCGAACCCTGCATGTGTCACCAATCAGCATCACAGCGCATAATGCCACTACTTCATTGTATCAACAACAGGAATATTGGTCAAGAGATGTAGAGGGCAGATTGCTGTGAGAACTGCCCATCAAACTCAGTATGCCCAATTTTGGCCGAGCAGTGCACAGAGGCATCCAGCAGCCCTCTCTGGAGGCTGCACATTGAGAGAACCTATAAGGACATAAAGGCCTGAAATCAAGCAGTCCAAATTGTGGATGAACTACGTTTCATCCTCTACCCGCTGTAAGAAAATTCATAGCAATACTAAGCCAGTCTGCTCACTCAGACCTAAACCAAACCTTCTGAGCTAAAAAATTTGCGGAGCAAGAACAGCGTCAGCTGAAATTTCCTCTGCATTCCTGGCTGAAATTTGTGAAAATAAATATTTGGTTTGGTAAAAGCTAGTGAAATTAGGAATATTAAAGGCTTGGGGCTGTGCCTGTAAATAAAGCTTTTAGGTGGTTAAAACTATTTTTTAGCCTTATTACTAATAATACTTATTATTCCATGGCTATTCACATTTAGCCTAACTCCTAAACATCTAAATCCATTGAGCCTTATGAGCCTTAAGAAAGCAAACATTAAACATTTAAGTCATTTAGCAGACGCTCTTATCCAGAGCGACTTACACATTTCAAATTTCACCTGCGGGATAGTCTGAGATGAGCCACCCGGACAGCTGTTGAAACTGTGGGTTTGCATAACAGAATAATTTCTGCACAGATTGTCAGAAACCGTCTCAGGGAAGCTCATCTACGTGCTCGTCATCTTCACCAGGGTCTTGGCCTGACTGCAGTTTGGCGTCATAACCGACTTCAGTTGGCAAATGCTCAACTTCGATGGTACTGGCACACTAGAGAAGTGTGCTCTTCACGGATGAATCCTAGTTTCAACTGTATGGTGTCGTGTGGGCGAGCGGTTTGCTGATGCCTCATGGTGGCGGTGGGGTTATGGTATTGGCAGGCATAAGCTAGGGACAACAAACTAAATTGCATTTTATCAATGGCAATTTAAAATGCACAGAGATACCGTGATGAGATCCTGAGTCCCATTTTCGTGTCATTCATCCACCGCCATCACCTCATGTTTCAGCATGATAATGCACGGCCCCATGTCGCATGGATCTGTACACAATTCCTGGAAGCTGAAAATGTCCCAGTTCTTCCATGACCTGCATACTCACCAGACACCACCCATTCCTATTTTGGTGCAGCAATGCAATAATCAGAATAAGTATTCATATGGATCCTCATTCTTGGAGCATTCTGCTGATGCATTAACACTATTAGTATCTGACATTTTAAATCAGAGTTGTTGCTCTTATATATGTGTAGCAACACTTATTACACAAGGCACAACATTGTATTGACATGTTAGATAGTATTGTTAACTAATAACAGTAATGGAGTTGCATGTTTATTGTAATTACACAAGAGGAATAGAGACCATTCCTTATTCTAATTGTGTAGTAGCAAAACACATTCAACTCCCTTAGTTTGTCATTATAAAGCACACCCAAAGCACTTAAGATAATGTAACTACAATGCTGTTACTATAGTAATTACAGTGTTACTACACAGCTGTAACACCCATGGAATAATCCATTTCATAAAAGCACAGTCCATTATAGGCCTCAGATTTATTCCTGGCTGCAAAACACAGGATGCTTGGCAGGTAGTCGGAAAGATAAATATGACACCTCGATGGGGTTCTAGAGCCAGTCCAGTCAGCGTTTTCCTTTTATAGCCTGTGCAGTGTGTAGGCTATGTATTGTTCTGTAGGACATTATTATATTGTTTAAATAAAAACACACTGTAAGCATCTCCCCAAGGGAAATTAATCCGGTTACGATAGTTTTAGGCTATTTGTTTTATTTACTAATATCTTGTCCATGCATCACATGGATGTACTGCATTGTACTGATCATGGATAGATGTATCTGCATGAATGATACATTATTTAAACAATATAATAATGTCCTACAGAACAATACAGCCTACACACTGCACGGGCTATAAAAGGAACATGCTAGATGTCCTTCAACTGAATTTCTATGCAGAGCCTGTAAAGAGGTGTAATAACGTTGATGTAAAATCAGCAGAGGGCAGCAGTCTTGCTCTGTGCTCCAGGTGGCTCATTATAAAGCTTTATAATGGTCAGTATGATACACAGAGACAACCAACAGTCTCCTGTACACTGCCTGCTGTTGCTAAATATAGCTCCTTCCCTTTAGCTCATCTAACAGAGGGCCACCACAACAGGGAGGGGACCAGAGGGAGAAAAAAAGTGATTACCAGGCAGAACAGTGCCAGGCGGGCAACTTGACAAATGAGTACGGTCAAGGTGCCGCTCTTCAAAGCCATGCACACATTTGTTTCCATGGCCTGGTGACACACGACGCCAATTCCTGTAAGAGCAGGGGCTTCTTGAGAGATGGCAGGGCAAGGCTTGAATGGGGCCCCAGCTAAGGGCCAGATAGTGACTAGGTATGATTAAGAGGCATGAATCCCAACGCTAAAAAGGAGGCTAAGAGTGGAGAAGGCAAGACAGATACTGTGTTCATTTTCACTGAGGGAAAAGAACAACAAACAGGCAGGAGCAGAAACTAGAAGGGAGGAACAGGAAGGAGGTTACGCTGCTCTGACGCCAGAGAACTAGAGGCTGAAGTGTTGTCAAGCCCATCAACGTTGTTGTGAATTCAGCTCACATTTCAGCCAATAATCTCCCTCAACGTGGCCGTGTTGAAAGTCTAGGCGTGAAAATGCTGTTCTCGCTGATAAATGGGTGTGAGCACTTATGGGGAAGGACTGGAGTTAAAATGTACAGTTTAATTTGAGCAGTCACTTCTGTATAATGTAACAGCATAAGTTCTCAATATTTAAATTCAAACACAGGAATAATTTAAGCCACTTAGGCCCATCATTTTATGGTTTTACTAATGGTACCACTTGGAAGAGAGACAAAGAGGACAGCCAACACATCCTATAAACAGCCAACACATCACCTGCTCCTTGTCCCACTGACACTATCCCATTCAATATAACATTTTACTTGTTCAACCACATTCCTCTCTTCCCTGACACTCACCATCCCTACGGTTTCACTTTCTCCTCCCCCTCATGCTCTCCTTTGCCTTTAACACCCTCACTTCTGTGGCCTCAGCCCTCCCTCTCACTTCTCTCTCCCTCTCCACTGCTATTCTACATTCTCAGCTGGACTCCAAAATTGTCTGTGACCGCCCTCTGACTCTCACACTCCAGTTCCAAACACTCTCTCCCTTGCCATTTCTCAAAATGTGTTCTAAGGGCATAAAACATTATCACCTCAATGACAAGCATTCTGCAATCTAGCTTTTCTTATTATATGCTCCACCACATCGGCTGAAACCAGTATGAAACGCCGTTACTTTAATAACAATGGAATGAGCAAGGGTTTATTCTGCTAATAACACTAGGGGAGCAAACATTATTAAAGCTTGTGAAATAAAAGCCATGACTCCGACTAAGCCGTTAAATAAACCCTTACATTATTTGACGTGATCACCTTGGCAGCAGTTCCAGCTGCCTCCCTGGTCCCAAACACCAACCAGGTTAATTATTTCACTGCCACCTGGTTCTGTCTGTGTATTTGCATGTTTATGCGTAAATGTACACAAACCTGTGTCTGATCTTGGATGTGTACTGTGACAGACATGAGTCTATGAGCATGTGTCTTCCTATAAAATAATGTCTGATGAATATCAGTGGGGTTTTGATGACAAATTCAAGTTGAGAGGGATGGGATTCATATGCAGCAGTATAACAGTAGGCAGACAGACGTACCCTAAAGTGCTGATAAATCCACTGGTGGAGCCCTCTGCATAGAGGGAGCAGATGTCCCCTATGTGGAGGAAACTGGACATCTTGTCTGACATGTTGCCTCACCCAGGACTATGCCTGGAAAAGAAAGATGGAACAGACAAGAGTTAGCGTGATACATATACCATACATATGTACAGTAATTTACCCTGATAAATACTGCCTATTTAATTGTATATTTAATTTTTTCACCCTTTATCGATGCGCAATGCAGAGAACACCGGAAGAAGAATTATCATTTAATTACAACAGTGAATTATTGTAACGTTTGTTTGTGTCAATTAATCCCATAAGGGATGGGTTGCCAATTGGCGATTTGACATGAAAATAAAATGTAATTCATTAATTCATTCATTCATTCATTTATTCATGTATATTGTCATAAATAACCCATAGGCCTACAGCTATTACCATGTGATCACATAGCGGTTTCTATGTACAACATTGTTACTATAGATTTTTATTTAGTCACATGCCTAGTTGCAGTGTACAGTGAAATTCTTAAGCTCCAACAGTGCAGGTGAAACAATAAATAAATAAATACATACATACATACATACATACATACGCGTTTACAACTGTGACAATGATCATTATAAACTGGGTGGGTCGAGCCCTGAATGCTGATTGGGTATGACAAAACATTTATTTGTATTGCTCTAATTATGTTGGTAAGCAGTTTATAATAGCAATAAGGCACTTCAGGGTTTTATGATATTTACATTTTAGTCATTTAGCAGACAATCTTATCCAGAGCGACTTACATGAGTGCATATATTTTTCATACTTATATACGGTCAATATACCATGGCTAAGGGCTGTATCCAGGCACTCTGCGTTGCATTGTGTGTAAGAACAGCCCTTAGCCGTGGTATATTGGCCATATACCACACCTCCTTGGGTGGCCATGATGCTCCTGTACTGCCAGCATCTGAGTGATGGAAGTTGGGAGAACAGGCCGTGGCTCGGGTGGCTGAGGTTCCTGATGATCTTCTTCGGAGAGGGTCGAGTGTGTCGGGGAGGGAGGAGGTGATGTGGTCTTTGACTCTCAAAGCACTTCATGATGACTAAAGTGAGTGCTAAGGGTCAGTAGTCATTCAGTTGTTACTTTCCCTTTCTTGGGTACGGGATGATAGTGGACATCTTGAAACCGGTGGGGATAACGGCCTGAGCTAGAGAGAGAGATTGAAAATGTCAGAAAACACAACAGCTAGCTGCACATGCTCGGAGGGCACGGCTAGGGATGCCGTCTGGTCCAGCAGCCTTGCGAGGGTTAACACGTTTTAATGACTTACATACGTCCTCTGTGGACCGTAAGCACGTAGCCCTCATTGTCCTCAGGGGCTCTCCTTGGCAGCTCAGAGTCGTTTTGGTCGTCCGGTAGGGCGGAGTTGGTGTCCGCGACATGACTGGCTTTCTTTTTGTAATCCATGATTGATAGAAGCCCCTGCCAAATATGCCTCATGTCCGGCCCGCTGAATTGCTCCTCCACTTTGTCACCATACTTGTGTCTCGCCATCTTGAACGATCGGCGTAGGTTGTGTTTGTACTGTTTAACCATACAATTGTCCCCGGTCACCTTGCCGTGTTTATAAGCAAAATCTCATCTTCAGTTTCCCGACAACGCTGCCATCAATCCACAGGTTTTGATTCGGGTACGTTATGGAAGAAACCATCAGTATCACATCAACGCATTTTTATATGAATCCGGTGTCTAAGTCGGCGTATTCATTGATGTTATCCCCAGAGGATACCTGGAACATACTCCAGTCCACGTAATCAACACAGTCTTGGTACATGGATTCCGACTGGTCAGACCAGCATTGTTCAGACCTGATTACCGGAACTTCCTTCTTGAGTATTTGTTTGTAGGCGGGGAGGATCAAAATGGAGTCATGGTCAGATTTGCCGAAAGGAGGACGGGAGATGGCCTTATACCCGTGTCGAAAATGCATGTAGCAGTGGTCCAGCGTAGAATCTCTGCGAGTTGATAGTAATTCGGGAACACTGTTCTCAAAATACTTTTGTAAAGTCTGAACGCTGCCTCCAGGTACACGGTCTCCAGTTTGTTCAGGGTGTAATGAAGATCTTTAAGAGCATTTTTAGTGTCGGCTGTGTAGTTACATTAAGCAATAAGGCCTGAGGGGGTGTGGTATATGGCCAATATACCACGGCTAAGGGCTGTTCTTATGCATGACTCAAAGCAGAGTGCCTGGATACAGCCCTTAGCCGTGGTATATTGGCCATATACCACAAACCCCCGTGGTGCCTTATTGCTATTATAAACTGGTTACCAACGTAATTAGAGCAGTCAAAATAAATGTTTTGTCATACCCGTGGTATATGGTCTGATATACCACTGCGGTCAGCCAATTAGCATTCAGGGTTCGAACCACCCAGTTTATAATGGAAATTCACATATTTACATTTCAAACTTTGAGCCATATATGATGTCTTGCAGTTGTGCAATGAAATAATTCCAGCATGGGATAATTATTCTAGAAAATATTCAGCAATTCCACCTGATTTAATCAATGGAGGGTGTAATAGATTAAGAAATGTACTCAGGCAGTTTGCACATCTGAAACTTGACTGGATCAACAGAACTTGATAGGATGTCTTTCCTGTGGTCCCATGTGGCTCAGTTGGTAAAGAATGGTGCTTGTAACGCCAGGGTTGTGGGTTCGATTCTCATGGGGTACCAGTACGAAAAAGCATGCAAACGTATGCACTCACTAGTTACTGTAAATTGCTCTGGCAAAAATGACTAAAATCTCAATGTAAAATTCCTGTGAGGGATGTTGGATTTGTGCAGTTGGGAAGCTATGCCTATATTTAGATATCAAACAAAACAGTGACCTCTTCAACCTGGTGTATTTGTGTGTAGACATAGGCTAGCGAAAAGCATCAACACAGCCAAGTGTCTCACATACAATACTGTACAGAGCAAGAATAGAATAATGGAAACAGCATGTGGAGAAGATGTCAAAGCACAGGGTTGAAGCCACTGCATATAGATTGCAGTTTGACTGTACCACTTCTGTTCTCTGACAGGTGCAAATTCACAAACCTGAACAAAAAAAACACATTTGATTTCACATATAGGCATTGGTTGAAGCTCAGTGTTAAATTCAAATCTCCCTACCATCATATATAAGCCAATATGACATCAATCTCTATGAAAATGTGCTAATCAACTGGATTGAAGGTACACAGCACACTCCCTGCCTCTCGTCATGAGCCGTCCGTCCGTTACGAGAACCACATACCACATTTTTTAACAGGGTTGTTAGCAATTGAGTTTTAAGAGTATTTCTTGTGGCTACCTAGCTCAAATTCTAGATGTCGGATTAAAAACAAGACAATAGCGTCCATAAAGTGAGCATTGGACTTGCAAATGACAGATTGACTAACTTTGTAGGTTAAAACAGTTTTTATTAAATGTATAATTTAAATCGATCTCTTGTTCACATTTCCATCCATTAAGAAATAATGATGTGCTTGCCTCTCAAGTGGCGCAGCGGTCTAAGGCACTACAGCCTGGGGTTCTATAGCCAGGCTGTGTCATTACCAGCCGTGACCGGAGTCCCATAGGGCAGCGCACAACTGCCCCAGCGTCGTCCGGGTTAGGGGAGGTTTGGGGGCTTTACTTGGCTCATCGCGCTCTTGCGACTCCTTGTGGTGGGCCGGGCGCCTGCAGGCTGACTGCAGTCGTCAGTTGAACGGTGTTTCCTCCGACACATTGGTGTGGCTGGCTTCCGGTTAAGCGAGCGGGTGTTAAGAAGCGCGGTTTGGCAGGTCATGTTTCGGAGGACGCATCACTCGACCTTCGCCTCTCCCGAGCCCGTTGGGGAATTGCAGTGATGAGACAAGATCGTAATCACGAAGTTGGGGAGAAAAAGGGGGTAAAAATTATTACAAAAAAGAAAGAAACTACGACAATGCTAACATCTTTTTTAGCAGAAGCTCAGAATTCTATAACACCGGGTCGGTAGGCTTGGCAACAACACAGCTGCTTGCACCATGCTGCCAGTCATAACAAATATATGCGAACAAACCTAGGCTGCTGTATAAAGCTAACTATATGGTGGTATTCAAGCTGAGGTTAATCAATAAATGCAAACAGATATTTTGATTAGCTAGGTAGCTAGCTAGCTAATGTTACCTAGCTAACATTAGCTTGTTTTTACAAAGTCCAGCAGCTAACCTCTCTAGCTAGCTAGCTAGCTAACGAACAGGCAAATAAAAGTAGCTAGCCAATGAATGTGGTTTTGTTTTCATTAGCTAGGTAGCTAGCTAAAGTAACGTTATACCAGTCAGATGAGAGCTAACGTTGGCTAGGTTCCTTACCAACAAGCAAGGAAAGCTAGCTTGCTATATTTAGCCAACTAAGGTTTTTCATATAAGGCTGAATGAAGTCATCATGTATAAACTGCTGATCTAGACACTTGTGTGTATTCAGAGCACAAACAAATATGCACAAATAAGCTAGCGAACGTCCTTGGCTGCTATGATAGCCAGTTAACGTTAAATAGCTAGGTAACGTTAGCTAACATACATGACCAGTTCATGCACCACACTATATCATACTTTATTACACAAAACATAGCTAGTAAATGTTAGTTAAGTTAAGTTTAAAACCACCAAACTTTGGGAAACAGCCACGCTGCTCACGTTCATTTGCATTGCACAGACCAAGCTACGGTAAGACGAGGTAGCCAGATTTCAGACAAGAGAAACGCTGTAGTTAGCTACGCTACATTTCCTCAACTAAGAACAACCGAGACCACACAAACCATAGCGAGAAAACAAATTGCTTTGTTAAGAAACATTAAGCTAGTTTTGAACCTTATATAACAAATGGTTGAACCCCAGTTGTGCATGCTAGCATCAATTTACCAGACGAGACTGGCAGCGTCGCTGTTTCAAACATGTGTAGAATAAATCCCAGCTCCGGCATAAACTCTCTCTCCTGCTGTCTTGTCATTCTTATAATCCACATGTGTGCTGACTGATCAATACAGTGTCAAATTACTTATCAGTGTGTTCACAGAAA